TAATTCAATCAATCCAGTTCTCTGCGAGTAACTACGAGGTAGCATGGAATATTTTATGCGAAAGGTTCGATAATGAACGGTTGCTTATTCAAAACCATGTTTCGGTTTTATTCAATCTCGAACCAATTACAAAAGAGTTGTCGGTATCTTTAAAACGTATTATCGACCAGTTAAGTAAAAACTTAAGAGCGTTAGCGATCTTAGGCGGGCCAGTTAATCATTGGGACACTCTCCTCATATACATCGTTACTCATAAGTTAGATTCAAAATCTTATCGAGAGTGGGAGGAGTTTAAAGGACGTTTAGACAAAGAAAAGCCCATAGGTTTTGATATGTTTGTCGAATTTTTGCGAAATCGTGCTGATCTAATTGAAACTTTAGAATTGACACGCAGCGGAGGACAGCTTAACTCAAATAATAACAAAGCGAAATTAAAAACTATGGTTTCTCTCGCGAAAGGAGCAGTTGATAGCTCAAATGTATCTACTCGTTCTACATGTTGCCCTAAATGTAACAGCGAACATAATTTAAGTAATTGTTCGCAATTTCTAGCATTAAGCTGTAATGAACGTCTTAAATTGTTGCCGTCTTATAAGGTGTGTTTTAACTATTTTCGTAGTGGTCACTTTCCTAACCATTGTAAGAGATCGGGATGTAAGATATGTCGACGTAAACACCATACTCTTATTCATACGGCAGGTAAAACACCAAACGAACCTGGTAATAGCAATATTCGTATTGAACCACCATTACAGTCAGAGATCATACCTTCTAGTGCGAGTGTTACTCTTTCAGCCCGTATCGATGCGTCCAGAAGCGAACAGAATAGTGAACAATACGACGTGTTATTGTCGACCGCGCTAATTAAGTTGCATGATTCAAACGGTCAAGAACATGTTGCTCGTGCTGTGCTCGACAGTGGAAGCACATCATGTATAATGACAGAAAGGCTAAGTCAGCAGTTGCGACTGCCTTTTTATTGTGTGGATAAGTCCATTCTCGGTATAAATAATATGGCATCTCATATTAATAAAATGAACCGTATTTGTATACAGTCATTAGACGGAAGTTTTAAAACAAATGTGCAGTGTTTTGTTTTGCCTTCAATAACCGACAGAGTCCTTTGAAGACAACGTTCAAAATTTTGGCGTCTTGAGGTAGTAAATTCTTCTTCGTCCCACTACTATCACGAAGAAAAATTATGTGAAGAACACTTCATTAATAATACTTTTCGTTTAAATGATGGACGCTTTTGTGTTCGCATTCCTGTGAAACAAGATCCTAACGTATTAGGCGAATCTTTTCAACGTGCGAAAGATCGCTAGAGCGCAGGTTAAAAAATAAAGCGACATTTGCTAACATGTATCGCGATTTCCTCTCCGAGTACAAGTCTTTGGGTCATATGTCTGAATGTAACCTCAGTGAATTAACTAGCAAACCTCATTTCATTCCACATCATGGCGTCTTACGCGAAAGTAGCACAACCACTAAACTAAGAGTAGTGTGTAATGCTAGTGAGCTCACTACTTCCGGTCTTTCATTCAATTGCATACAGATGACAGGTCCCACAGTGCAAGATGATTTGCTGTCTATCCTCCTCCGGTTTAGGCAACATAAGTTTATCTTAGCCGCTGATATCGAAAAGATGTATAGGCAGATAGCCGTACATCCATTAGATAGACACCTACAGCTCATTCTTTGGCGTGATAATACATCGGAGCCTGTCAAATCATACCAGCTAAATACCGTGACGTACGGTACTACTAGCGCAAGCATAAGGTCTTCGCAAGATAAGGTCTTGCTACTAGATGTCTAAAACAGGTAGCTCTCGAATGCAAAGATTCAAAGATATCGGAAATAATTTTGCGTGATTTTTATGTCGACGATTTGTTGACAGGAGGCGCTGACCTAGAAGAACTTAGGGGCATAAAGATAAAGGTTTCGGCGGAATTAACAAAAGCGTGTATGTCATTAAGAAAGTGGAAGTCTAATTGCGCTGAGTTAATATCTGAACCCTCTCAATTATCGATCGATTTGAACATCGGATGTAATGAATCCATTAAACTTTTAGGTCTTTGCTGGTATGCAGATTCTGATGAACTCTGCTTTCCGATCGGTTCTCTACCTGCAAGCAACAACACTAAGCGTGACATCCTTTCTGCAATAGCTCGGATATTTGATCCATTGGGTTTGTTAGCACCCTGTGTTATAAACATGAAAATTCTTTTGCAAAAATTGTGGTAAAAGGTTACTTGGGATGAGCAATTGAATTCCATTATTAGTAAAAAATGGGCAGACATATTTACGAATATTTCTTCGCTTAATTGCACCCGTATCCCCCGCTGGGTCGTTTGTGACCTTCATAATTCAGTGGAACTGCACATTTTTAGTGACGCTTCTGAACAGGCTTATGGGGCTTGTGCATATGTTCGTAGTTCAACGAGTAACGGTAAGTTCTTGTGCGGTTGCTGATGGCCAAAAGCCGTGTTGCCCCCATTAAGCCGATGACAATACCCAGGCTTGAGCTTTGTGGTGCTTTAACAGGTGCTCGACTTTATGAGAAGATACTCAGCTCACTCAGAATACAGTTTGGCTGTACTTATTTTTGGACAGACTCCACGATTGTTTTAGGATGGTTGAAAATGCTTCCTAATAAACTTCAACCATTTGTACGCAACCGTATCGCGGAAATACTACAAAAATCCGGAAATAGTATTTGGAGGCACGTGCCGACTAATGAGAATTCAGCGGATCTTTTATCGCGAGGCGTTGAGATTAACTCCAAAATCTTCAGCTATGGTGGTCTAGTCCGAGTTTTTTCAAAGAAGATGTCTCACAATGGCCTGCTCAACCACATAATATAAACGTGTTGCCTGAAATTCGGACGGAAGTTTCATTCAATGTTAACGAGGTTAGTAAGAATAGCTCTATTTTGATAAATTTTAATCGATTTTCTAACTTTTTGAGACTTAAACGTACCGTAGCCTATGTATTAAGGTTCATAAAAGAGCGTTCCCAAAAAAGAGCCCATTAATTAAACTTACTGTTTTCTTAGACGAAAACAAGATAATTCGAGTAGGAGGTCGCTTGCATAATTCCAACTTTTCTTATGATAAAAAACATCCTATATTGCTACAGTCCACACACCGTTTTACTCGGTTATCAGTCTCAGTCCTCGGTACTCGGACCTCAGTTACTCTTAGCCTCTATCAGAGAAAAGTATTGGCCGATCGGCGGTCGCAATTTGGCGAGGAAATGTTATCATCAGTGCGTGCGTTGTAGTCGCATGACAGGTAAAGTCGTAGCTCCACTGATGGGTAATTTACCACAGTTGCGCGTTCAAGTAGGAGGTTACCCTTTTGAAAATGTAGGCGTAGATTACGCAGGTCCTATTTTATCTGCTAGTCGTCAAGGTCGTGGCTGCCGTTTAGTAAAGGTATACATACCCGTCTTTATATGCTTTGCCGTTAAAGCAATCCATTTGGAATTAGTTGGCGATTTAACTAGTAATAGTTACATACTGACCTTACGCCGATTCATGTCAAGAAGGGGAAAACCAAACAATATTCATTCCGACAACGGTACCTCGTTTGTTGGTGCGTACAACGATATTTCCAAGTTTTTAAAATCCAATTGTGATGTGCTATCGGAAAAAATGGCTAATGAAGGGATAACTTTCCATTTTATTCCTGCATATTCTCCGCATTTCGGTGATCTCTGGGAGGCGGGTGTTCAGTCAATAAAATTTCATTTGCTAAGAGTGCTGGGAAATTGTAATCTCACTTATGAAGAGCTTAACACTACATTGGTGCAAATTGAAGCAATACTCAACTCAAGACCACTCACACCAATGTCGTCGGATCCAGATGATTTAATGCCACTAACACCTGGACATTTTCTCATTGGCCGGCCACTCACCGCGCTGCCGAACAGAGATTATCAATCCCATTCCACGAACACATTGACACGTTTTCAACGGATTGAGCAATTACGCCAACATTTTTGGACCAGATGGTGTAAAGAATACGACGTTTCAGAACTCCAGCAACGAATGAAATGGCGATCCAGCAACAACAATCTTAAATTGAATTCCCTTGTCCTGGTAAAAGAAGATAACCTTCCACCTTTGAAATGGAAGTTGGGCCGAGTTGTTGCGGTTCATCCCGGATCCGATAATATCAGTCGTGTGGTGGATATCAAGACGTCTGCTGGAATAATTCGACGGGCGTTTAGCAAAATATGTCCATTACCTGTTTCTTCTGGTTGAAAGTGGTGCTTTCAACGCCCGGGGGCATGTTAACGCCTGTCGCAATTTAGTAGCAAACTTACGCGCATTAGAGTAATTATTGTAACTTTATGTAAAGTAAATGGACGTTATGTTTTTATGACTACCGACCTATGTTAGTTAGTTTCATTACGTTTTCGCATTATATGCCTTCACCACGTTAATCTTTTATTTCTTAAATTCCGGCAATTTCTCCACAGACGTTTTTTTTAAAAAGGTTTACAGATAGTATTGGACACAGGGCTGTAGCTAGAGTTGAATTTGAGGTAGGGCAGCATTGATTACAGGTAGGGCGGAAGTAAACAATTAAATTAAATTTATCATAATTGATTTGCCCTCGAAGCATGAGCTCCTTCTTGTATCTTGTATTAAGTGATGTTTTAACTTTCAGTCCCAAGACTGTTAAAGCTTCATTTGACGCAGAACCGGCTAGCCAGAAACCACGGGTTTGGGCCCTCCGCTGTGGGTAGGGCCATGCATGTGCTCATGCGTGCGTTTAAGTATGGTGTGCCATCTAAGGGCCATCGAGGTCGCGGTTCGGACCGAAACCCCGATGGCCGTCGACTGTGCATTTAGCTAATCGGTGGCTGGGAGCGGTGAGAACCGCCCCGGAACGCGGGTGTACCTTGTGTACGCGTTGTGTTGGTCTCGCCGTGCTCGAAGGCGAGGGCGAACTAGTGTGTTTGTTGTTGCACTAACTGTGCGTGTAGTGTTATCCGGCGGGTGGGTCCGGCAGTGGGTCCATCGTTTCTAAGTCCTCTTCGTCGCTCGGGTCGATGAGGACGTTTCGCGGGCGACGCTTGTTGACGTTCGCGATTGTGTCGGGTTGGTAATTTGCTGAGCTTACCACCAGAGGGTTGGGATGATGTTCGGCTCTTTGTCCGTTTTGTCAGGTCTTTAAAATATTCGCGAATCGTCGGGAGTCTGCAATCGCTGTGCAGGTCGACGTTGCGTTGATAACACTGCGCACCGGTTGCGCGGGTTATGAACTTATTTTGTACTATTTGCAACTTGTACAAGCGAGTAGGGTGCGTGTGGGCGACATAATGCATGCGTAGGACATAATAGACCGTACGCAGGTCTTATGTAATAATAATTTGTGCCTTAAGGGCATTTTACTTTTAGCGTTAGTTAAATTGTGTGGCCGGCCGGAGAAGAACGCGGCTCTATTGGGAACGTTATTAATGTGCGTATTAAATGACATACGCGAGTTGAAAGTGACTCCTAAGTATTTGACCTTTTTCTCCCAGGAGAGCGGTTGGCCATAAAGGGATATTTGCCCCAACTAGCATGAGCTTCTAAATCAATCATCATGTATATCACTGACCTCTAGGTCAGTTCAATAGCTATTCGTAGACAAATAATTTCTGTGACAGAACATGAGCATGGATATAAGCATTATTAAATCCTTAATGATGAAGAATAATCGAACAAGATGGTTGAACTTCCAGCTTTGGATGTAGAAATCCACGTCTGAGTGAGAGTGAGGTAATAATTAATTTTTGGATGAGATGATACGACCAAAAATACCACTTATATCAAATTGTTTCTGCAGACCTGTTATAATAATTAACATTGAATTCTTCGACTCGCCATGTTATTTATTAAAAATGCGAATAACTTCGTTCAGATCAACTGATTTTGTCCTTTTTTTTCCAAAGGCCAGTAATACAATACCAGCCATTCTCTCGTGACCCATTGGCAGCCTTTGAGGCCTATTGATTGCAGTTAAAGTTGAAAACGTAGATTCGCACACTGCAGTGCTACATCCTATGGTCGCCACAGATGCAAAAAGTTCATAATTATGTATCTTTAAACGCCTCTCGTTGCCTGTACAACACTTGCAATGTATTTTTCATTTTGTCCTCGTTACGACTCAAGTAAACTTTAACCACACTAGCCTACTTGAATTATTATTTTTTTTAAACTTACCCAAACTTTTCAGTGGAACCATTTTATCTACATCCAACTCATCGAGACTTGCAATCGAATTGATTAGATCATCATCCTTTCTACATATTTTAATAGATCATCATCATTCAAATGCCTATTTTATTATTATTTTATCCTTTAAACGAGCAATTCTTGTATATATATATATATATATATATATATATATATATATATATATATATAATCGGAATCTCGGTAACGGCTCCAGCGATTTTCATGAAATTTAGTATGTGCGTAGATTCGGGGGCGAAGCATCGATCTAGCTGTTTCATTTTTAGAAAATGTCCTTTTATCTCTGTTTTCAGGGAATGAAAAATATCATTCGAATATGACGGTAAATTTCGCCGCAAAAAAAATTTTTATAATAGCTCGGTCGGTAATCGGGCGGCCCCAAAACAGACGGCCGTGGTTCGTATCACGATCACGCACTTATTTTTTTTACTGTTTTTTCTATACCTGATCATTGCTTTCTTTATTTTTTTTTATTTCCAAATACATTATTAATCAAAAAAAAAAACGAGCAAAGCTCCGTCTTCCAGGTACTTTTTTTATACGAGTACACAGAACAAAGAATTATTAGAATATGAAATGAATGTCATGAGGTAATGAGTCGATCGCACCCAAGCTATTTCTAAAAGAAAGAAAAAAAACAGTATGTATGTAATGTAATATTTTAATTTTTTAAGAAAAAAATTACGAATAAGAGGATACCTGCGGAGTTTCTTTTGCCTGTTTCTTCTCCGTTAGAGGAACCTCATGATGAAATGGTGGTAGATTAAAAAAAATACTATCGATGGATGAAATGTATGTTTCCTAAGTCCATAAATAAATTATTTTGATTTTGACAAACTGTGGTATGTTCGGAAAAGTTGAAATACCTATCGCTACAATTTTTATTACAATAATGTATCTTAGTTTTTGAATGAATACTTTTTTGTCCACCACACAAAAGAGGGTACACAAAATTAAAAATAGACAAACAAATTAATGGAATTCACAATTTGGCGGCCGTATCACTTCATAGCGATCTCTTCCAGGCAACCAATGGCGTAAAGGAACTTTACTACGTAGGTTGTGCAATAGTATAGTATATAATGCAGTAGTAGAGTTTAACAGCCTGTACGGTAAAAGATTTTTCAAAAAATTACGTTTTGTGGTTTGGCACCTTTAAAATGAGCTTCCTCGAAGAAGGTAGGATCTTCCCCTAGAAGCCCTACAAATTCAAATTTCTCCTTTAAATAAAGTGGAGTAGAAACATGAAATAGAACACAGTAGGTACAACATAGAAAGAATATACAAATTCCGGCGAAGTAGGATGGAAAACCACTTGAGACGTGTACGAAATTGAAAAAAGTGGTCATATTTACGCAGTTTTATTTTGGTATTTTTAAGGTAGGGCATTGTGATTTTAAGGTAGGGCATTGCCCTACAATGCCCCCCCCTAGCTACGGCCGTGATTGGACATTAAAATATGTAGAAAAAGAAAGAATGAAAAAAGAAAGATATTATTGGATTACTTTTACGAACAACATGTATAGGTTTGCTATCTTAAATTTTTGTTTTACTTTTTGAGAACAGTTGCACGCAAGGTCAGAGTTTATTTTGCAGATATTGTCACGTTTTGACGCACGTACAATAAACGTTTTGTCGCTCCCGTCGCTTTACATACTTGAGAACATCATGTATGTACGTAATAATATCCACCTATTTACGAAAAAAACAATCCACATGGCGTCGGGGCCGTGGTGACACTCTGGAAGTACCGAGGTTTAGATTGGCTAAAACCAGAAAGTCGTTTCTTGGAAGATGCATCAACTTTTATAATAAAATAGGTGACATCCACAAACAACTAAGTATAAACAATTTCAAACAATTTGTAAAAGCTACCTTAATGGCAAGGGCCTACTATAATATCCAAGAATACATAGAGGACAAGGATGTTTGGAAATGACTCTTGCTCTGCACTTGCAAGACCCCTGGCTGCTGCTGATTTTATACCCAAATGTGTATAATTGCATTAAAAAATATATATATAACAAAAAGAACAAGACCGCAGAGTTTCTTGCCGGTTCTTCTCTGTGCAGGTCTAGTTTAGTGAACCGGTGGTAGATTTTTATTGACGTTCAATAAGAGCTTAAGTTAGGCCTATATTGAATAAATATACTTTGACTTTGACTTTGTCAGAATTTTACTTGACGTTTAAGGTGCCTGTTTTTTTGGAAAATTATTAATTTTCAATTGTATAAAGTGTATAATATTAATAAGTCAGACGGTTTAGACTCGTTAAACATTGAAACTAGTTGCCGAATTTAGTACAAAAAAATACTATTAGTTTACAAAAAAATCTCCGACGGCCCATCGCAACTACAGTGTTACCAACTAATTTAAAAAAGGCCCTAAAATCAAGATGAAATAGCCCTAAAAAGTTAATTTCCAAAAGCCCAAAAAATCCTTGTATTGTATTCTAAACCATTATTTATATGAGTTTCACATATTAAAATTTGTAGAAAAAAGTACGAAAAGCTAAACGGCTGATTGCCGTACCAACATAAATATTTCTTTTATGTGAAAAGTTGCCATGCGAGCAGACGGTTCAGCTGATGTAAAGTGAATACCGCCACCAATGGACACCCGAGGGTTGCAAATGCGTTTTGAAATTTTGGCTCCGGCCACCTCACTTACTAGACGAAACGCGAAGGGTCCAATGTCCGTAAAATAATATTAAGTGAAATAAAAAGAGTAAGTCGGTTCCCAGCATAATTTGCATGTTACTTTTTAAGTATAGTGTAACCATCCTTTTACAAATTTACAGATATATACATCTAGCACTCTACGAAGCAGTGCTCGCTGCCCAGCATTTGTTCTACATTTTTCAGTGTTGAATAATCGGAGCGTGCATTTTGCCTGGTAACTCTTCTTGATACTATATAATCTTGTTAGTAAGCTCCATACAGTCGAATATATTGTTACATAATCCCATGGAAGCAATAAGTACTACGAACGACGTAAAAGTTGTACGTAGTACTTACTACTTCCATGCATAATCCATATAACAGCATGACCATAGTAAAAGTGCGTCTGGACTACTTAATAACTCATATTTTTCTAATAAATGTACGTAAGAAATCCTGGAACGAAAACATTTAAAGTGCATAAAACGTCTTTGGTAGGTACAATTTCTAATCTTGAAATGTATTTTGAAGTGATTCCATATTGGAACAGCAAATTCTAATTGAGAACGAATCAAGGTATTGTATAAGAGTAGGAAGGAAAGTCTGAGGACGCTGAAAGTAGTTTGTAGAACGCATAACAAATCCAAACAACCTAAAAGCGTTGTTGATAATAGGATCAACATGTATATTAAAGTGCAGCTGTAAATCTATTATCACACAAAGACCTTTAATGAAGTTAACCCTTTCTAGGGTATATCATTGACAGAGTAATCAAGAAAACTTTTCTTTTTTTAAAGGTATCATCATGGCGCGAGTCAAAGGTATCATTTTACATTTTGGGAGACTAAGGTTCAATTTATTATTTAGACAGTATCTAGAAAATCTGTTTTAGATCCTCCTGAAGAAATAAGCCTTCTGCAAGTTCGACCGCGAAGTTTATTCAAGTATTTAATCGGGCAGCTCCTGTATACATCAAGCAAATTTCAAGAAACCAGTGAGTGTATGTAACTAATATTGACTATTTATTAGTAATTCCAATGAGGAAGAATAAATGTTATTTACAAAACGGCCAGAGCCACAATACTGTCTAATGTTGTTGTTTCTACATTATTATTTCCTTACCGATATGCGCTTTTATTCATCATAGGCACATCACTATAAGGCTCGAGGCGATGCGATCGAGGTTCGAGGTAGACGCGCAGAATCACACTTGCATTTATTGCAGTTGAATCCATATTGATGGTCACTTAGAATAATGTTTAGGAGATAGGATTTATATTTAAATAAATTAGCATTCAGATATAAAAACATAACATATAATCGCAATATACTTGTCAGGTATTTTAATTTAAATTATTATACAATATGTGTTGTGAAAAAAAGGAATCAGCTGCTTCATTACGGATTTGAAGTTGTTCAATCATGAGATCAGTTGTTTGTGATTTAGGATTTTCAGCAACGTGGCCGTAGTGGGTACCGAGTCTTTGGCATTTCTGAATATACATGTTCCATACTGGACACGTGCTTAGACTATTTGGATTTCCAATGACGATAGCTTTTGCCTTGGCACGAGTCAAAGCAACATTAAATCGCTGAAAATAAAAAGATATAAATTAATTTTATTTACCAGCCAACAGATGTGCACATATAGGGCGAAAGCGTCCTCTGTAGAGGGACGATTTGGGCACAATCAGCCAGCTACGCGGTCTCCGTTAACACATATTTGAAATAATTATTCAGTCAGCTTTTTTATTTCTTAGATGCCGATATTGCCCGGAAACAGGTTATTTAACTGATTCAGAGAGTAAATTGAATTAAATGCTGAAATAAATCCATTTGTGCATATGTTTTATGAAATCCAAAAAAACGATTAAAAATGAAATAAGGAGAAATAATCAAGAAAATTTGGAATCAGGTATAACTTTTATTACAATTAAAGAAAAATATATTTAAGTGTATGTGTATGAAGGGGATTAAATTTTATATGATATCGGTAATTTATTCGAAAAATAAATATTATAAATTAGCTCATTGTCTTTATGCTAGAAATTAAAGGAACCAGTACAAGAAATTTAGAAATTCTATCTTTGAATAAATATTTTTATTTATGTGAAAAGTTGTCAAGCGAGCAGGCAGTTCACCTGATGTTAAGTGAATACCGCCGCCCGTGTACATCTGCTACACCCGAGGGTTGTAGATGCGTTGACCTTTTGAAAATTGGGCTCCGGCTACCACACTCACCAGCCGAAACGCGAAACTATTATACTTAGACTTCACGCCGGTCAACTTTGAGGTCGTGGTACTTTCCCGGACGAGCCTGCCCATTCGTGCAACAGCCGAGGCAGCTGCGTGGCCCTGATTTACATAGCCATAGTTATGTAAATCCGAGATATCCATTTATTTATTCAAAGATGAAATTTTAATGACATGTAAAGTTGTATTTCCACAAGCGAAAGGCTTTCAATCATTTACCTTATCGTCATCTACGAAACCAAGTGAGGCGTTCGAATTGGCGCCCTTGCCGCGAACTGTACTGATCAAAATAACACGTTTCTCTTGACCCTGGAAAGCGTCTACAGTTGCCACGTCTATTCGTAATTGGTATAGATCAACCCATTTTTTTATTAATGTAACCTGTAAATTTAAAGCCGTTATATTTTATAATGTCGATGCTCGCTGCTTAATAAAACGTGCAAGCAAGACGCCGCCTATTGTGCTCTCTATCGGGTCTTATTGGGACGGGCAGTGATGCGTCACTATGCCAGTGTAATGACTATGTAGTGTATGTAGTGTAATGACTATGTCACTATGTAGTGTAGTGACTCAGTTGTGAAGTTGCTGAGCCAATGGCTTCGGCGCCGGTGATTATATAATGTTATTATTATTATCATAAAAACTTGTGATATTTTCGTAATAATAAAAAAATGTATTTCGATGATATGTGAAATCCACCAATCCATCCAGTGGGGTCGCGTGGTGGACTACGCCCTAATACCCTCTGTACAGGGGATGCCTTTGCCCAGCAGTGGGACATATATAGGCCGTTGCGTTTACTTTTTTACGGTCAATCATTACCTACCTGACTTTTATACGTCGCTATAATACCTATGTCTTCCCCTTTCACATTGTGCGTATTCACGAGTTTGCATATGTAAGATTGGACGACGCGTATTTCATCCTTATTGTAGAAGCTGAAATAGAGGAGTCACGTGTAAGCGTTCTTCGCGTCATGCATTAGCATCTATCGACTATGACGGAGCAGTTAGGAGGCGCGGAATTTAACTTTGTAAGTGCCAAATATTGAAGTTTCTTGAGCTCAATAGTAAACATGTCTTTAAATATAAAAAGAGCAATAAGAGTTGAGTAAAGTTGCAATAAATCATGGACCAAAAATTTTATCGCGTTAACTTCATTTTGCAGTGTAACAAGATTTGGAATTGCCGCCAATTAACAAAAACAAATGACACATGAATGCCACATAATATGTTACATTAGGTTACCAAAGAATTCTATATTCAAAAATTAAAAGAATTTTCTTCGGCAATGTTTCTAACAAGCTAGTTCTAAGAACATTCGGTGTGACCCTATTATTTTCTAAACAAATATACAGAAGCAATTTTCGTACTGTGTATATTTTTATTAATTAATAAAAGGATTAAAATTCTTAAGCAAAATTGATTAATGCAATGTAGTATTCATATTATAAGCCGTTTGAACGAAGGCGTTTATGTAAGTATTAGGTACAAAATAACGTAATTGTAACTAAATCGTCAGATTGTTCTTATCCACTGATGTACCATGAACAGTAAACAAGTTTTGACCGTCTCAGACTAAATATACTAATGGTACATTTTAACATAACCTTTTGAACGGTATATTTCAATTTTTTACCTTGTTCCGTCTTTTGTTTCTGTTGACGAGACTCCGTGGAAAACAATGGCCCGACATTTCTCCTTTTGGTTTAAAATGTTCTGTCTACTCAACGGATCAACGACAGCCATCGCCTGTGGTTATAGATGATATTCACTACACATACACGTATGTATAATTTCAAAACTAAAATAAACGCTTTTTTTAAGGTCAAAAGTCTTTTATGCTATTTTGTTCTATTTCTATTCTTTTTTTATGCTATTTTATTGTCTCCATTCAAAGTTTATATGACATGACTTCATAAATATCACATTAAACTCAACACAAACGTAATTGCTGATGGAATTCATTCAACCAAAATAAGTGGCGTGTAGTATTGAGCATCTTATTAATATTGCACGTAGGAAAAGTGTAACGAGAAAAAACTTTTATTTAGAAAAGATTAAAACATTTTTTTAAACCAATGCCTGGTGCTAAAATTTAATTACAATTTTTCATTTTACTATTCCCGTGTATTAATCAGTTTCGCAGTTTAGCTGTTTGAAATAGTTATCTAATCATAACTATTTCAAAGAGCTAAACTACGGAACGCAGCTCTGAGCCTCAGACTGTGCAACAACAACATGATTTATTTCATTTTCATACATAAATAAAAGTGATGTTGTTGAATATGCCTCTAATAATTAAACGGACAGCTATGAATATTTTGCGCGGATACAGATTCTGCAGGAACAAGGGTTGTTTTTCAGCTAGTCTCTGTACTTAAAACAAGACTGTGATTTTTTTTGCAGAAAAATTGTCGACAAATTTCTTGCCTCTGCGGTATTCGGACATAAGTCTTCCGGGTACAACGCTGAAACGCTTTACCAACTAAGCTAAGCAGCCTGACCTCACGGTGCCAAAATCTCGACATGTATGTACCTTCTATATTGGTGGATATATAATCTAAGTGCATGAAACACGTTTTAAATAACATTTAATGTCATTGTGGCAGGTCCAAACTAGGGGTCCATCTTCTGCAATGTCCGTTGTGTCCCTCCTCCTACACCTACGAAGACCTGCTTGAAGCCAGTTCTGCTGCGGTGGTGGTGGCCAAATACTGGTCGGACGAGATCTAAAAAGCTATTTTAACTCGAAAAGAAGCAAAATAACCCTTTTCTTACAAGGAATGTTTGAAACGATAGATGTTGCCTTTCCCTTTGCAAATTAAGATTGTTCGTAGTGCTACAGTTTAAATTTAGAATTTTCATTAAGGACTTTAAATTTTAGGGCACAGGTAGATCGCTAAAGCAATAGGTATAGAATGCAGTACAAATTTTCGTTTAAGAAGTCCATAAAAATCTTCTACGGATTATCGGCTTAGTTGTTACTCCAAACAAGAAACCTTGCAGCTCATACTACTCAAAGACTTCAGGAAGGCTGCAAAACAAGGAATAAAAAGTCAAAGCTCTCTAACAAGAACAAGAAAGCTCTATCTTAAAACGCACAAAGTTGCATCGAACAAGATCGTTCTATTGTCGGTCAAATAAAAATAGTTTTAAAGATGAAGTCGGTTAAATAATAATCAATAGTAACAAAGGAATGTGTATGTGAGAGTGAGAGGTACGGTCGTGTCGAGTCTGGGTGCCCTAATGTATAATTATCGGCGGCGCGTTCCTAGAAGTTTCTCCATACAGAAGAGCGCAGTCAGACACCACACAATACACACAGGCCGTTAGCTCCTCCACCCACATAGACAACAGAAGCTCGAATACAGGCGCAGACCTACAAACCGCGGAGGGCCTTATTAAGTTCGTGGGTTCTGGCTAGCCCGCGAGTTCTGTGTCGGATGTAGCTTCTACGGAATGACGACAAAAACATTAGTTAAATTATAAAAGAATGTATTTAATGTACTTACTCTCAAATGTCCACCGTAAAATATATTGTTTGGTAAATCAATTATGTGGGGATCAGATCTATAGTTATTTTTCAACATAACCATGTATTTGTTTTCCGCCTTATTGTCGTAGAAAGGAAAGGTTTCTTTTAAACGCTCCATCATTGACAATCCTAAAGAAATGTTTCAATTATAATTTTTCATGATATACTACTTAAGCTCGAAATTAACTTTTTCAATAAATCATTTTTTTCATTTGAATATTCAAATCAAAATAAGCATCTCATCATCTGCACAGGCAATGGATGCACTAATATAAAGATGTTGGTCCAGAACTGATTCATGTTTGTTTTTCACTTTTAAATAATTTTAGACAAGAAGTTAATTACGATAGATAGAGAAACGTAGTCGTTGATATTATTTTAAAAGCAAAGATTTACCGATAAGTTCAGATTATGAGATTGATCAAATTAGTTGCTTTATAATAACGATATAAAATGTACCCTATAAGATATACCTTACGAACCTATATACATAATCTTTGATGTAAAATTTGACGATTCATAAGATCGCGCAAGCGTCTATTTGAATAAATATATTTTTGATTTGATTTTGATTTTGGTTTTATAATGTTCTATTGAAGCAGGTAAATCGATGAAAATTCAATTTTTCAAATTCCAAACTATAGCTATGGCTTTTCTCCATTCAGAAAGCAAACTTCTAAGTTATCTGTATCACAGGAGCTTGCCTGAATTGGCTTACCGAGACCGAATTTCTTCGATTCGTTCGAAACGACCACGGGCCCAAGTTGTTTGCTGTCTCCAGCCAAAATCAAGGGACGCAGTGATCTCATGCGGCTCGCGGGGATTAGGCAAGACGGCTCGTTTGCCTGCGCCGCCTCATCGATCACCACATGTGTAATGTAGTCTAAACTGAAAGCAGTTTTTTGAAGTGAAAACTTCTTTAGGGACGTGCACTTTTCGATTGGGAAACATTCATTGGTTCGCAACTCGTGGATTTTATGTTTCCGAAAGTTTTCTTTATTTGGATTTGAAACATCTATTGGCGCAAGGCAGTAAAATCGGCTGCTTTGCCGTCATGGCCAACGGCATGACGGCAAAGCAGCCGATTGTTTAATGATTGTTGTAATTGAATGTAAACTAAATGTTTGCTGTTTTCTGAATAAGAGTTTCAATTTTTCTTTCAATTTGTTATCAATTTGCAATTTGTCTTTTGAGAAACATTTTTTGATCTATTGTATTTATAGAGTGCCTAGGCACTCATTGTGTCATCATAAAATGTCATTGTGTATAGGTGTATATCTTATACTTACATGTAAGAATACGCGTGGCAAAGCGTGCACAGAATAATGTTGTAGTCTTTTATGACCATCATACTAACAGGTGCGTTAACGCTGTCCTTTTCCAAACATTTCTGGACGCTGTCGAAATCAAAAATTCATACAAAATCTAATAAAAGGTTTCGAGCTCTCGGAGATCTATAATAAATCTTATCCTTTAAACGAGCAATTCTTGTATATATATATATATATATATATATATATATATACAAGAATTGTTGTATATATATTTATATATATATATATATATATATATATATATAATCGGAATCTCGGAAACGGCTCCAGCGATTTTCATGAAATTTAGTATGTGCATAGATTCGGGGGCGAAAAATCGATCTAGCTAGGTTTCATTTTTAGAAAATGTCTTTTTATCTCTGTTTTCAGGGAATGAAAAATATAATTCGAATATGACGGTAAATTTCGCCGCAAGAGAAAATGTCATAATAGCTCGGTCGGTAATCGGGCGGCCCCAAAACAGACGGCCGTGGTTCGCATCACGATCATTTACACATTATTTCTTTACTTTTTTTCGATTCCAGATCATTGCTTTCTTTATTTTTAATTTTTTGTCGATTTGTTATTTTGTTTTTTTTTCCCCCTTTTTTTTTAAAGTTCTTTCTTTTGTGAAAAACATCAGTTCATATTTTCTTATTATTACGTCGGTAAGATCGAAAAATATTATGCATATTTCATTACTCAGTAATTTGTATCTAAATTTAATTTCCAAAATACACGATTTCCCAAAAAAAAAAAAACAACCCGAGCAAAGCTCGGTCCTCCGGGTACTATATTTAAAATGACTTAGACGATAATCTACAACGTTTCAAAGAACAATGCCCATTTTTGACCTGATTGTGTATAGAAGTGAAATAAATATTAAAATTTAGCTAATTTCATTTTATAGTAATTACACTAATCATAATGTTAAAAGAAGGTCGGGAAAAATTTTTTTTTGATATTTCTTTACGCTTATTTTACTTCAAGGGTAAACATATTACCATGTTTTGAACGCACCTTAACAATCCTTTGCATAGGACGTTCCATTTTTCACACTACCTACTTGACTGTATTTAACTTTTTCTGAGTTTAGTACGTGATTTTACGTTTTAGAGAAGTGAGTAAGCACGTAATTAACAGCATTTGTATAAAAATTAAGATTATTAGTACAGATTTATTAAAAATAAAATAATAAATTATTAATGCAACATGTAATAAAGTTCGCACGGCTGACGTAAATGGATTTTTTTGACATTTGACAGTTCTGCAAGTGACTCATACTCATCGGTATTCGCCAGTAATTGTAAGTACCTATTTATGTTTATTATTTTTAATCTAAAAATGTCAATCATGTCCTAGTCAAACTAACAAAGCTCCTATAAATTATACCTGTGACATAACACAAACAACTGTTCAAAAGATCTATATATCCAAAATATGTATTATAAACTCAATATGTTTTTTTATTTCAGGTTACATTTGTAAATCTTGTAATGAACTCTTTATGAGAAGAATAAACCAGGAATTAACAAGCTGTGATGTTGCTCAAGCTTCAGGATTATCTCAACCAAGTCGAAGAACACAGTTTATGATAATCCTTCAGAAAATCAACGACAGATAAATGTACAACAGATAAATACACAAACAAGTTCACAACATCACATATTCATGTTTCTACATTGTTAATTATTTGCCAGTATAAAACTTGATGCTATTACTCTAGATTATTTCTCTTTTGTATTTTAGATGTAAATTGTTATATCTGTTATTAATTGACTGATGCTGTAATAATTTTAACCACAAATAAATACATAATTGATTTTTTTTTTAAATATATTTTTAAGCTGAATAATAATTATTGCTTTATTACTTTTTTTGTAGATACTTTCCTTTGGAAAAAATTTCATCATCTGATAGAATATGCCATTCATGCTGGATGAGTTGTAAGAGTGCTGCCACACATATTAGGCATGTTGCTGAAGTTTGTGGTGTTTCTACTACTGAAGATAATTTATTTTTTATGTTTCTGAGATTAAGTTATTAGTGAACTTATACTATTTGCATTAGGTACCAAATAAGGCAAGCCAAATCCTATTATGGCGAACATATTCACTTTCATGGATCATATAGAATATAAATATGTAGGGACACAGGAGTTTTCTAGGAATAATCTGAGAGGAAGTGGTGTCATAACACTAATAAGAGGAAAAATTAAGTCCTGGCACATTTAAAGAAAACAATATTGTCTACATTTTAATAGAAAATAATGTGTCTGGCAGAGCTAGTATAGTCGAATACTGTTGTAATTGTTTAGTTGGCGAACCATAGGATGTTGCACTCATGTTATGACTAGTGTGGTACTTCGGATGAACTATCAAGAAAATATCTCTGTTATAGTAGAATTTCTGGATAATATAGTTATAAGACATTTAAGTGAAGATGATGATAATTAATAAAGCATTCTACTGTAACATAGTGTTTTATTTTTTCCCCCGTTTTATTCATCAGGTATTATAATTATCGATTATTATGTATTGTAGTGCAGGCTAATGAAATGTGTAGGGCAGATAAATGATCACTTTTAACTAACGTTTTTTTAGTAAGTACTTATGTGAGCTGTTGAAACAGCAAATAATGCTCTTCACTCAATTTATGTTGTGACAATAATCGAGTCTAAGCAGTGACGTAAGGGCAGTCGGTTTCTAGGAATTCACAAGTAAAAAAGACGTTTTAGACCTTAGATAGGCTAATATTATTATTTTAGAATAAACTTGAGCGTAAATAGTTAGTTCTAGCACATTTATTTCGTTATATTAGGTAACTACAAATCCTAACCTAAAAAGTAACATTTTTTAATAATTTTTGGACTTCGTAGACCAGCAATCGTAAAAATGACTATATGATATTCATTTACTAAATTAAAGGTAATCTTTCTGCTATACCTTGTAACTATACATACACTTTCATTATCAGGTTTTTAAATGTATGGGAAATGGGCATTGTTCTTTAGAAACTTCTTTTATAGGTGACAAACGCGGAAACTCTTAGAATTGAACTCATAGTGTTAAAGCCTTTAATATTTTCTACACGTCTGTTTAGCCCGGGGTCGATATTAAGGTGGAACGGTCAAAGCTGCTGCGCGCTGACAGTTCTTCTTAGAAGTGGGCGATACAAATCGTATCAGATATGAAATCTAGATATTAGTACAATATCCGAATATCGCTTACTGGCTCGTTCAATATCTATGTATTTTACAATATCTGATATTTCCGAAATCTGATATACCGAATACTCGCTCGCTCACTATACCGACACGAATCGCGATATCATACGGTTTGCCACAATATCTGATTTTTAAACAGATTTCGAGAGACAAAGCGCGTGAGATACAAATACTCACTAGTTAGAGCGGGACGGCAAGCAACGAACGATATCAGATATCGAGCGACAAAGCGCGTGAGATATAAATACTCACTAGTTAGAGCGGGACGGCAAGCAATGCACGATATCAGATTTTTAAACAGATTTTGAGCGACAAAGCGCGTGAGATACAAATATTACACTAGTTAGAGCAGTACGGCAAGCAAGGCACAATATCAGATTTTTAAACAGATATTATGAATAAGTTAAGTAATTTTGAATCTTAACACCATGCAAATAAGATCCGTTTTAATTAAATACTACAACGATATTATTATATTTTTATTGTTTTGTTTAGCCTTGAGCCGTAACGGGCGACAAAGCGCGCAGTTAAGTAATTTTGAATCTTAACCGCATGGAAAAAAAAATTTTTAGTTGCATTTAAATACAAATTACGATATTAACGATGTATTTAAATTTTGTTTAGCCTTGAGCTGGATTGCATTGGTACCTAGCACGTAATAGTTAGGGATGCCAACTTACTACTTAAGAATTTTCTGCCAAAATTAAGGAAGAAAAATATAAATGGTAATATAAATGTTTTAGGTGGTAAATTTTTTGTGAATATTTTTATTAGTTAAATTTTTTTCATATTTTTGGAAAAAAATAAAAGTACACAAAAAGAAAAATATAATTTAATAGTGCTGTGCTGCTTGGGTGGAAATCAGATCGAGGCTTATGTGCTTTGTGTGTATATTTTAAATTCTTCTGCCCTAAGTTATAATACTGAATGTACATTTCTTTTTTTCTTTTCTTACACAAATTATAAAAATATTGTCACTCATAATTGCGTGTTCTAAGAATATGTTAAAGTCTATTATTAAGCGATATATAAGATGTTAAAATAAATCATTTTTATATTACTTCAATTTCTATTTTTAATGAAATTTTTAATTTAATCAGGTAATTTTACCTTAATAGTATAAAAAATCGTGATTTAAAATTCAGTAAGTTTTTTGAATTTAGTCAATTTTAGTGGGTTTTCGAATTTATTTAGAAGTAAGCTTTTTGAACAGTTGGTATATGGAATGAATCAACTTTTAAATACGCCTGCACAATTTATATTCATAATGAGTATAAAATATCGTTGAAAACATTTTTTTTTTTTTTTTTTAGAATTCAATGTGGATACGTGACCGTAAAATATCTAGATATTAAAATACATAGTTTCGAAATCTGATATTTGAAATCGAAATCCGATTCAGATACGGTACTCAGAAAAAGCGATACGACCCATCTCTAGTTCTTCTTTTCTCGTTACCAAGACTACACGCACAGACTAACTAGAGATGCTTACGCATTTTTGCTTCGATAAATAATTAAATATGCAGTTAAATGTAGTAAAATTATTCAAAATCAAATGACAAGAAAAAAAAAGCAAAGATCATTACATTTTATCAGTTATTAAATTTGATTAAGATATATATCTTATTTAAGTTGCATTACAAATAGAAATTATTATAAGATAAATAATTCTTACATCAACATCAAAGACACTATTTGTTATTAGTGTTGACCATGTAGTAATATTTTCTACATTTGATAGTATTCTCGATAATTTAAGATTATTAAGTACGTAGAGTAAACGTGAAAAAGAAACTTATATTTTTTAATGTTACCATCACAAAATACCTATTAATTATCTAAAACACCTGTAATTTTTGGTTATTTTAACGATTAATTTAATTTTATTATTTATTATCTATTTTCTATAACTTCAATGCTACGAATATCAGTGGTATAATGTACCAAAGATATATTAACATACACATTTCAACATAATGAAGTAAAACCGAATTCTAATGGTTAATTGTTACGGTAGTTATTGACGCATTATACAGCCGACGCGAGTTTAAAATAGTGACGTAATGCACAAAATAATATTAAAACAACATGTTGCACCTCATAATGGTATTTAGACGTGTGTATTATCTCAGGCCTCGGCCGCACGCAAGATCGTCGTGGAGTAAAAGTTGTATACTTTTGTATAAGTTGTGTCATCTGCACATTGTCATTGGGTATACGGCTTCATCTTTGGTGTTATTTGTGAAATATATAATAATAATATTAATGTGATTGGTCCGGTATCACGTCATACGCGGTGCCGATGTTTGATTTATTTATTTATTTATTGTATTACATCATTTATTCTATTATTATGTATTATATCATATTTGACATTTTGTATGCAGCGTGTCGTCAATCGCGACAATAAATGAACACAAGTCTAACGCTACTTGCCTATAGTCATAAAAAAATATAAAACGTTAAAAAAATCCATAATTAAAAAAATATATTTTTCAAACAAAAACTACAACTGACTGATTCATCATACATTCAGAGACGTTTTCATTCGTTGCCACAGCGTCGCATTACAAGTCTCACCGTCTAACAGTATGTTTTATCTCTTTTAAATTCATTCAACCCATTATATGCTTTGTAAATGGACCTTTACAAATGAACTTTACGTTACAGTTTTATACGTAAGGGTGTTCTAAAATTCTTTGTTTTGTAAAATTTAATAACTCGGTAAATATTGATGTTTAAAGAATGTAAATGCTTAATACAATTTTAAAAAGTTATCCTTTATATGTGTGTTCATTTATTGTCGCGGTTGTAACGACACGCTGTATACATATTGACAGAGCCGTGATAGCTCAGTGTCCGGGTGCTCGCCTAACTATACTCGAGCAACGTGATTTCGATCCCCGGTGCCGGCACAAATGAAATTTTTAATTTCAAGTGCTGATTAATCAAGTGCTCAGCGGTGAAGGAAACCTGCATATTTTCGAAATAATAACAAAAAAAAATATTTCGAAGATATGTGAAGTCCGCTAACTCGCAGTGGGACCGCGTGGTGGCCTATGCCCTGATACCTTCTGTACAGAGGAGGCCTTTGCCCAGCAGTGGGACATGTACAGGCTGTTACTTTACTTTACTTTTTGACATTTGTATATCACTTGTATTATTTAAATTTTTATGTTTAATTTGCATATTTTTTAAAGTTTGTGCACCGACCCCAACTTCTCAGTACCACCCTAAGGTTGACTGGTAAAAAATGCTGTCAGCATTAAGTCCGTCTATGTACAGTCATTTGTGCACGAAGTTTTTAAAACATTATTAACGAAAAACAAATCCGACTTCAAATATCTCGGTCCGTATTCATTTTATTTTCATTTGATTTTCTGGAGTTCCCTACGTATCTCCGGTTCCCAAGATCTAATACCAATGTTATTAATATGCGATCACATGGGAAGCACCAGCTTTCAAATAAAAAAAGAATCATCAAAAGCGGTTCACTCAGTCGAAAGTTCTGAGGTAAGAAACATAAAAAATCCTAACTAAAAACAAAATGGCTAATTTCAAATTCATTTTCTTTTTGAATTTGTGGAATTCCCTGAAGCATCTCAGACAGCCAAGCTCCAATACTAATGATATTAATATGAAACTACATGGGAGCTAATCCGAATGCATTGCAAAAAGAATCCATTTAAATCGGTTGATACAACTCCGTGAAGAGTTCAGAGTAATTTCGTACGTAAAAAAAATTCAACCGAATTGAGAACTTTTTTAAAGTAGCTTGAATTAAGTGCTGTATAGGTGCGATCAAGGTAAGCTTAAGTAAAACACTGTCACTAACCAGTTTCTGCTTCTGGAATTAATACGTAGAAAAAGCTTATACGAGTTCTCATCGAAGTGCTTTTTATATTTTTGCAGGACGCACGCCACGTTGTCCACGGCCTGATTCGAATGAGCACAGACTAATATGCGGTTTTCCTTGTTTGCGGCGACCAACTGAAAAGAGTGGCAAATGTTTAGAACAATTTAAATTAAAAATTAAATTTTAAATGTCTAATAATGTTGTATGAAATTTATTGATGGCGGTGCGAAAGACACCAAATTAATTCGCATGACTTGGCAGGGATGTCTTAAAAATATAATCGCATTGGAAATGTAAAAATTAAAGTCTAAAAATCTATTAATCATCATAAATGGCACACCAAGTATCGAGTACATGTTAAATTTTGATTTATGAAAAATAAACCTTTTTGGATACTAAAGTTTGACAGAAGACAACCATACTGATTTCGTCCAAAATTCTTTGGGTCTTTTTTTTTAGCTTCTGGTTTTGCATTACACTGTTCAATCCAGTTAAATGAAAAATTTGAGCTTTTCTATATCTTCAAAGAAGCAAGCCTTGGTCGAGTGTAAGGGCGTCTGAAACAGTTCTAGTGGGGCCCTTAAAACACTAGTGTCTCAAGTGAATAAGCAATCATATATATATATATATATATATATACTAGCTGTCCCGGCAAACGTTGTTCTGCCATATAAATTATTTCTAGGGAATTTGTAGGGTGGAAAAAACTGTTTAGTGGACCACCCTTAACATTTAGGGGGATGAAAAATAGATGTTGTCCGATTCTCCACCCTGGCCGATATGCACACAAAAACACGAAAATCGACCGAGCCGTTTCGGAGGAGTTCAATTACAAACACTGGGACACGAGAATTTTATATATTAGATAAGCATTACAATATAAAATTGTTGTGAAAGTCAATGATATTATATACAAATTCAAGGTGCATATGACACTAGCACAGCGAACCTGAGGTACTTAAATTACACCAATTGGTGTAATTAGATTGCAATTCTTTTGACTGGTATCTCATTCCGTATCATACGTTCTATATCATCTGTCACATTCACTTATATATGTCATTTAATGTAAAGCGGAACAATTTTTAAACACCGCGCAATATACATCATTGGTGAAAGTATCTAAAGCGGTCTTTTTAATGTTCCGATGAACTGCAGATTATTGTAGGTTTGCACTTCCTGAGCGTTAAAGCAATGGTAGTCTTCGATCACCCACAACAAACTGAAACACGGTGTCGAATTTCTCCCTCTAGATCAAAGCCCGTAACAAATAAATTAAACACCATTGACGCTCGAATCCGACATCTGAGATTGCATTGAATTTACACTCTTTAGTTCAGCCATAATACCAGAGAACAAATTACCAAACTAAGGTGGCAAAAGATCAGGTGGATTACTTCGAGAGAGCCTTCACATCTTCTTTTATGACCACAGGCTCAGTCAAGAGGGGCTCCGGTGCATTTTTAGATGAAAGAGTCACTATCCACTCATTCACCTTACTCAGCAACTCCCCCATACGAAATGGTCATTGATCCCTTAGATAAATGATCGTTCGATCCCTGAAGTGGCCGAAATAAAATTAGTGTGAGACATAAGTGTGTATGTCTACAGCTTCATGTTTGCTATTTGTAGCGACCGAAGCTTTCCGTGGGAAAATGAAAAATAAATTGGGAATTGAAACGGCATATCACCTGTCTAAAAATAAAAACAATTTACTCACGAAACATCGTCTACAAAATAAAACATTAATTGTACCTATAACCTTTTATTTCGTAGACGATGTTTACGTGGATGTATCGTTTTTATTAACATTGTTAACACCGTTAACACATGTTAATAAAGGTGACCAAATCTCGTAAACAAATCGCTTTCATAAATAATTGTTTGTTTAATTATTCAATCATAAGCCAAAGTGCAACGCCGATACGCCTCGGGATTAAATCGCAATTTCAACCTTATGTTACTCCTTCCTCTGGCTCGATTGCGATCCAAGCCGAGGTTCGAACCTCCATCTGAGGGGCCCCTGGATCATGTCGTGCCCACCCCTGTTAGTCGATTGTCCATCTTTCGCTAGCAGGGTGTTACGGAGTGCAGTAGAGCGGACGGCGTCTTCTTGTCGTCGTCGTGCACCAGCTACGTTGTTTGCCGGTTTGACAGGTTCGGCGGAACTCTTCCGCCGAAGCTGTCAAAGCCGCCGGGTTAACATCAAATTACATGTCACAAAAAAAGAAAAAAAAACATCACCTGCAGTATTGCTTCGACAATGGTTACTGTTTTCCCCGTGCCGGGAGGACCAAGCAGTAGGAACGGCGCGTTTCCAGACGTCCCCGACACAATGCATTCCACAGCTGTCCTCTGCTCTAAATTTTCCACAACCCTCGGATTGAAAAATCTGAAAAATCAAACGAGACTCGGTGGTGCAGTCGCCAAGCTATTGGCCTTCGGCGCCGGGGGTCGTGGTCGGATTCTCACGTGGGACAGTCAGATATTGTTAAAATAGGAGTGTATAACAGGATTGAAATGTTTTAACTTCAATCCTGTTATTCCTAATATGTAAATTTTTACATTTAAGCAGAGACGTGATTAACACAATCAAATAAAATACGGAAACTGGTAAGAGCACCAGGGAACCGCAAGCAAACAAAGGCATACGAGTTATTGAGTACTCGAAATCAACTGTTCAAAAGGCAGTGATAGCTTTTCTAATGTCTTATTGGTTTTGTGTGCTTCGTCAATGATTCATACTTGTGCGTTACTGACAAAGTAAAGAAGTTATTAAAGTCGTTACTTTTATAGCTTTCTATAAATCGGTTGAAAATTAATGGATTGACATCTTAAAAAATTATAAATTCCAAAATGGCTGCCACTAAGAAGTGAAAGACACAATAGTTGTACATCCTCCTCATGTCTGCTATACGTAGCACGTGAAGCGTTCTGAAGTGAATTAAAAATAAATTAGGAATCGAAACTTCGTACGCAGTCTGCAGTATTACTTCGACATTTTACAATCATCATGGTATTTCCAGGTCCGACTATAAGAATATTTAATTACGTTAGTTTAAAATTTCAAGGCGATGAGTTGTGTTTAGAGAAAACAAAAACCGTCAAAGCTGAAACAGAAAATGTATTTGAACGAAAACTAGGAAGAGGTGAATACAGCCTCTTTTCGACATTAATCTGCAATATTGCATGCTTTTAGTACGAGATCTGGCTGCAGGATTAGTGCGCTCGTCGGTAATTTGCTAAAAACCATTTTTTTTATGTATACTTATAATTAGGAGAATATATATCTACTAAGTTGCCAATCAAAATTTGGGCGCAAGTATTTTTAATTAAATTATTTTGAATTGATTTTTGTTAAAAAATTCCGTTCACTTGTTTTTTAAATAAAATATCGTCTACATCACGGCAATTTCTATAAAGATTCTAAAAAATCACGATTGCCGTTGCACACCTGACCGCATCTCTTCGCAGTCAGGTGTAAACAGGTATGACTTCGACACATTTATACGTTCATAACGTACATTTATTAATAATATATTAAATTAAGGCGCTGTATGCGGTAAAAAAAAGAGTATTTCAAAAGATTTTTTAGCAAAATCTACATCATCTTATAGCAGATCATTTTATAGCAGAAAAAAATATATGTTAATCTTGATCGTACATTCTAATGGAACATTGTTTCCAAAACATATTCTCGATATATTTTCTCGATAGAAAAAAATCATGAAACTACCTCTAAAAGAGTAATTCCATTCCAAAAATGAACGTAATACATCAACAAATCTTAATGAAATTAATATCAGTGGTGTAGAATATATTAATAAAAAGAATTGTTGTTTTAATTTGTTGATTGATGTAAGATATTTGTAAATATTAATTTAATTCATTAAAATTAATTACTAAATTAAAACCATCATTCTTTATGGATTGGGTTCAAATCCCAAAATTTTTTGTTGTACTGATAGTTGATTTTCTTATTTGGAAATATTTCTTAATTACCATTTAATTTTTGTTGATTTTTATTTTCATAAATAATTACAACGAAATATTATTGTATTTGTTCAAAGTTGAAACAGTTGGAGAACAAACTATTAGTGAATAAACCAACTTTTAGTATTAAAAATTTTTAACGTCATCTATTTTTTTATTAAAATATTAAATTTTTCACCCTAAAACAAAAATTTTTCTTATACACGAAAAATAATTGTTTTATAATTTTTCTTATTGATTTGTTTAAGTCCCAAATTGAGCCATTTTATAAAATAAAAACAAAATAATTTGTTGTCTAACAAATTAAAAGTGAAAATAATATAAAAAATACAACTCTACTCGATGAGGGTTTGAAATTGAGACTACAGCAATAGTTTACCGTTGTGTATGACGCTCGGACCAACAGGCTACGCGAGCTCTGTGGAGAGACAAAATTTCGATTCTTGTTATAATTGCTGTCGTTTATCGACACAAATAAAGATTTTATCGATAGTTTTTTAAATTTCATTTTAGTTCAGAAAGTTATATAACAAAGTAAATCTTGAACATTTAAAGGATAAATTAAAATTCCTAATATATAAAAAAATATAATAAAAAAAGTTGTATTCGTAATATCTGCAAAAATTTTATGAGCCATTTCTTTAAAATAACAATATAAACCATGAAAACAAAAAATAATAATTATAAGTAATTTGCCTTTATTAATTTATTTGACTTTAAGGTGTATTTTTAATCAATTCATTTTCCATTTAATTAAAAAAATAATAATAAACAGGAAGAAGATTTTCTAAAATTGTTGATTGCTTTCTCATACATTATATATGTTTGATTATTATTATTCCTATTATAATATAAAAGTAAAATACAATCATGGTCTATAAAAGATATTATAGGGATCATCTGAGTACATTTTCGAAAGCCTTCCATGATACTATCGATAGTATCCTACGGCGCATCACTACTCACACACTATATAATGAATGACTTGGTCTAGCGGCGCGTCGACGAAACTCGCGCGCTGCGCGCCGCTAAGCGGCGTTACCCCTCCTCCGCTTCCTCATACATTACCACCCAAATAGTTAAAAATTCACTGCATACAGCGCCTTAAAGCTAATTTTTTTCTATTCATTATCAACGGTGGTAGGGCCACGCAGCAGCTTCGGCTGTTGCACGAATGGGCAGGCCCGTTCGGGTAAGTACCACGACTTCACAGAAAACCAGCGTAAAGTGGAAGTATGTCAAATAATTTCGCGTTTCGTCTGGTGAGTGAGGTAGCCGGAGCCCAATTTTTAAAAGGTTGTCAACGCATCTGTAACCCTCGGGTGTAGCAGATGTCCATGGGCGGCGGTATTCACTTACCATCAGGTGAACCGTCTGCTCGTTTGGCAACTTTTCACATAAAATAAAAAAAAAATATATCATATATGGTTGCCTAATTAAATCTGGCCGCAAACAAGGGTTGCTGGCAGTTAAAGATGATAAATATTTAAGGCGCTGTATGCAGTAAAAATAAATTTTTCAAAAGATTTTTTGGCAAAATCTACACATTATATAGCAGCAAAAAAAAAAATATATGTTAATCTTGATCGTTTTTTTTTTTTGTTGGGAACAATATGTTTTGGTTACAATGTTCCCTTAGAATGTATTGAAGAAGTATTAGATTATTTAATATGTACTTGATATATTTTCTCCATAGAAAAAAATCATGAAACTACCCTCAAAAAGAGAAATTCAAAACCAAAAATGAACGTAATACATCAACAAATCTTCATGAAATTAATATCAGTGGGTGTAGAATATCTTAATAAAAAAGATTGTTGTTATAATTTGTTGATTGATGTAAGATATTTCTAAATATTAATTTAATTCATTAAAATTAATTCAAACGCGATGGCCAAAACACCGCGCCACCGCGGCGTGTTTCGGCTCTCTTCCAACTCCACACGTTGAACAGAGAGCGCTGAGACGCCTAGTTAGATGGATTTATGCCGCTCGTCTTCCGCTCACCGTTACGAAATATGTTCCGTATTTATTATTATTGAGGGTTATAATTTTATTAGATCTTTCGAAAACACTAAACTAAAAAATATATATTCACATATTTCGTATTTGTAATTATTTGTATGAATTAACAACTAAAGCGTAATTTCAATATCTTATCTTGTCATTGATAAGTTTTATCAGTCCTATACAAACAATGGAAAAGCAGGGATGCCAACTTAGGAATTTTCTTCCGAAATTTAGGAATAAATAATGTGGATTGGAAGTTTATTGGAAGGTAAATTTTTATGGGAATATTTTTTACGAGTTAAATTTTATTCACCTTTTCGAAAAAAAAACTACCAAAAAACGACTTACTGACAAAAAAATTCAGTCCAAAGCAGCACTTTGGATGACGTCAGGCCAAGGCCTATGTGTCTGGTATGAATATTTTATGTATTCTAATATTTTTTTTAATATTGTTTTGATTTTATTCTTAACATATTCATTTCAAATGAATTATGTTATATTTGATATTCTTGACCATGGTTTATTTTATCAGATAATTATTTTGCCTTTTCCTATAATATAAAAAAAATCCTGATTTTAAATTTAGAAATTTTTGTTTGAATTTAAAAAATTTTTGTCGGTTTTCGAATTGTTTTAGAAGTATTATTTTTTAACAGTTGGTAACACTGTGTAAAGGACCATCATTCTATAGGGATTGGGTTCAAATCCCTACATTTTTCTTTGTTATATTTTGTGGTGATTTTTTTTTTTTCTTGTTGTATGTATTTTTTTTAATTTACCATTTAATTTTTGTTGATTTTTTATTTTTATAAATAATTACAACGAAATATTATTGTATTTGTTGAACGTAGAACGCAACAGTTGGAGAACAACTTATCAGATAATAAACCAAGTTTTCAAATTTGCCTTTATTAATTTATTTGACTTTAAGGTGTATTTTTAATCAATTCATTTTCCATTTAATTAAAAAAATAATAATAAAACAGGAAGAAGATTTTTTCTAAAATTGTTGATTGCTTTCTCATACATTTATATATATGTTTGATTATTATTATTCCTATTATAATATAAAAGTAAAATACAATCATGGTCTATAAAAGATATTATAGGGATCATCTGAGTACATTTTCGAAAGCCTTCCATGATACTATCGATAGTATCCTACGGCGCATCACTACTCACACACTATATAATGAATGACTTGGTCTAGCGGCGCGTCGACGAAACTCGCGCGCTGCGCGCCGCTAAGCGGCGTTACCCCTCCTCCGCTTCCTCATACATTACCACCCAAATAGTTAAAAATTCACTGCATACAGCGCCTTAAAGCTAATTTTTTTCTATTCATTATCAACGGTGGTAGGGCCACGCAGCAGCTTCGGCTGTTGCACGAATGGGCAGGCCCGTTCGGGTAAGTACCACGACTTCACAGAAAACCAGCGTAAAGTGGAAGTATGTCAAATAATTTCGCGTTTCGTCTGGTGAGTGAGGTAGCCGGAGCCCAATTTTTAAAAGGTTGTCAACGCATCTGTAACCCTCGGGTGTAGCAGATGTCCATGGGCGGCGGTATTCACTTACCATCAGGTGAACCGTCTGCTCGTTTGGCAACTTTTCACATAAAATAAAAAAAAATATATCATATATGGTTGCCTAATTAAATCTGGCCGCAAACAAGGGTTGCTGGCAGTTAAAGATGATAAATATTTAAGGCGCTGTATGCAGTAAAAATAAATTTTTCAAAAGATTTTTTGGCAAAATCTACACATTATATAGCAGCAAAAAAAATATATGTTAATCTTGATCGTTTTTTTTTTTTGTTGGGAACAATATGTTTTGGTTACAATGTTCCCTTAGAATGTATTGAAGAAGTATTAGATTATTTAATATGTACTTGATATATTTTCTCCATAGAAAAAAATCATGAAACTACCTCTAAAAGAGAAATTCAAAACCAAAAATGAACGTAATACATCAACAAATCTTCATGAAATTAATATCAGTGGTGTAGAATATCTTAATAAAAAGGATTGTTGTTTTAATTTGTTGATTGATGTAAGATATTTCTAAATATTAATTTAATTCATTAAAATTAATTCAAACGCGATGGCCAAAACACCGCGCCACCGCGGCGTTGTTTCGGCTCTCTTCCAACTCCACACGTTGAACAGAGAGCGCTGAGACGCCTAGTTAGATGGATTTATGCCGCTCGTCTTCCGCTCACCGTTGCGAAATATGTTCCGTATTTATTTATTATTGAGGGTTATAATTTTATTAGATCTTTCGAAAACACTAAACTAAAAAATATATATTCACATATTTCGTATTTGTAATTATTTGTATGAATTAACAACTAAAGCGTAATTTCAATATCTTATCTTGTCATTGATAAGTTTATCAGTCCTATACAAACAGTGTAAAGGCAGGGATGCCAACTTAGGAATTTTCTTCCGAAATTTAGGAATAAATAATGTGGATTGGAAGTTTATTGGAAGGTAAATTTTTATGGGAATATTTTATTTAGGAGTTAAATTTTATTCACATTTTCGAAAAAAACTACACAAAACGACTTATTTAAAAAAAAATTCAGTCCAAAGCAGCACTTTGGATGACGTCAGGCCAAGGCCTATGTGTCTGGTATGAATATTTTATGTATTCTAATATTTTTTTTAATATTGTTTTGATTTTATTCTTAACATATTCATTTCAAATGAATTATGTTATATTTGATATTCTTGACCATGGTTTAGTTTATCAGATAATTATTTTGCCTTTTCCTATAATATAAAAAAAAATCCTGATTTTAAATTTAGAAATTTTTGTTTGAATTTAAAAAATTTTTGTCGGTTTTCGAATTGTTTTAGAAGTATTATTTTTTAACAGTTGGTAACACTGTGTAAAGGACCATCATTCTATAGGGATTGGGTTCAAATCCCTACATTTTTCTTTGTTATATTTTTTGGTGATTTTCTTGTTGTATGTATTTTTTTTAATTTACCATTTAATTTTTGTTGATTTTTTATTTTTATAAATAATTACAACGAAATATTATTGTATTTGTTGAACGTAGAACGCAACAGTTGGAGAACAACTTATCAGATAATAAACCAAGTTTTCATTATTTAAAAATTTTAACAAGTCTTATATTGTATATTGTTTTTAATTTCTTTTATTAAAATATTTAATTTTTCACCCTTATTTTATAATTTTTGTATTTTCCACATTTTATCAAATAACAACAAAATAATTAATTGATTAACAAATTAAAATTGGAAAAAGATGTATCAACCATGACGCTCGGACCAATAGGCTACACGATGTCTGCGGAAGGGAACAATATTTCGATTCTACTCGTAGTTATAATTGTTGTCGTTTATCGATATAAGGAATTTTATCGATAATTTTTTAAATATAATTTCATTGGGAATTAATATAACGTAGTAAGTCTTTCACATTTAAAGGATAAATTAAAGATATAAAGTTTAAGAAAATATGTAATAAAAAAGTACTTGACTACTTTACTACTTTTTTTACTTTATTCGTAATTTCTGCAGTGGAGACTATGAAATTGCGTGATTAGACTTTAAATCAAAATAAATAATTATTCGTTTATTTAATGTTTTGTTGTAAGAAATGTCATTTGGCTTTATTAATTTATTTGACCTTAAGATGTAATTTTAAAATAATAATTAATAACTGATAATTTTAAATAATTAATAGGAAGTTTTTCTAAAATTGTTGATTGCTTTCTCATACTTTATATTTGTTTGTTTATTATTATTCCTATAATAATATAAAAGTAAAGTAAAATCATGGTCTATAAAAGATATTATATGGATCATCTGTGTACATTTTCGAAAGCCTTCCATGATACTATCGATAGTGTCCTACGGCCCATCACTACACACTAGGTAATGAATGGTCTAGCGGCGCGTCGACGAAAATCGCGCGCTGCGCGCCGCTAAGCGGCGTTACCCCTCCTCCACTTCCTCATACTTCACCACCCAAATAGTTAAAAATTCACTGTATACACAGCGCCTCATAGATAAGACATATATACTGAAAGCGCCTTAAGGTAGAGTGAGAGAGTTAGCGCCTAACATCATATTTATCAGATGAGAACAACTGCATCACAGTTTGTCAGAGATTAATTTATGTCATTGTAATTCATTATTGGATTAAATAAATAAAAAAAAATATCTTTTAAGACATTTACAGTTGTTGTATTATATAAATACTCGAAGTTAGAAAATACATACCTTGTTATCCGACATGATTGCACTCTGTCGTTGGTTTTAGGAAAAATTAGTGGTGTCTTTAGTTTGTATGCTTTGTCTATAGCGACATGCATCATTTCAAATAGTTTTCTTGAAAACATAAACTTAACATCGAACCGGGTTTCCCGTAAGTCATATTTACTTAATCTGAAAAATACGGACAATTATGCTGAAGCAAATAAAATGATCGCAATGAGATCATTTGGCCTATCTTCAAGATCATTAACAATGTACTAGCAGTGGCGTAGCTATCTTAGGTGCAGATCGTGCAGTGCACCAGGGCCCCGAAGCTCAGGGGGCCCCCTAAGCTTTGAAAAGAAAGGAGCAGCTAGCTCTGGAATCTAGCAAACCTAAAGATTTTTGAGGGTTCCGTACCTTAAAAGGAAATAAAAAGGAGCCTTTATAATATCACTCTGGTCATTCTGTCATGGGTAGGTACGGAACTCTCGGCGTACGAGCTCGACTCGCACTTAACTGATTTTTTTATGTTATAAGAACATTAACAATAACAGAACTTCTAATGACTGACTTGACCTGATTTTCAACACATGCGCCAAGCGTCTTTGATAAGCATTTGCTATTTTTTATTATTTGATTCAGTACGTTTGTAGAACATTGGATCACCGATATGCTCATGTTGCTGACGATCTTCAGATAAATTCCACCCATCAACTTTTTAGTTAAGTTTTTTTTGCCTTTACCTTGCATGTGATCTCATCTATGTTTTATATTCATTGTAATGTATCTCTTTGGGACGGACAACAAAAATTGATGCAAGGTATACATTAGAACAACATATACTTGTAGGCTACAATTTATAAAGATTTTCTGCATTTTTCTGCATTTTTGCACTGAATGCAAGAAATGCCTTTGAGTTTCACTTTTAAAGGTTATTGAACTTTTTCAATCAAGAAAATTTAACGATAACATGTTTTGAATACGATGGCCCATTGAAGAGATGTAAGGATGTAAAATTTAAAATGTAAATATTTGGTCAAGAAGACCTTTAAAATAATATTTTAGTGCATACGGCGTCACGTACATTTATATAAGTGTCATTAAATAGGGTGTGCGAACACCTGAAAGCATTTACATACACCATTGGAAAAATTGATTTTAAAGATTGATTGGATTCGATTTTAAAATATTACAATAAAATTTACCCTTTGGATTTAAGAATCAATTTTGCACCTTTAATATCTGTAATACGGGCCGTAAAGTTCTTATCGTAGGTCTCGCGTGCCCTCAATAATATTAAATTGCCTGAAATTAATTTCATATGTTAATGACACTGTACACAATAGAAACAATCTAAACAATGACAATATCAAATTACAATTTAATCGGAACCCCCGTACAAAGAAAAACTCAATTTAGCTAAGAATCAAGAACCATCTCGATGACACATATTAGCTTTCAAACAAAAAACCGCACTATAATCGGTCCATTCGTTTAGAAGTTACTATGCCACGAACATACACACAGATGTACCAGACATTTCAAACTTATAACACGCCTCTTTTTCCGTTGGGAGATAAAAATGGAACTATACAGCGTGTCTTTACAATCAGGGGATAACTTTTTAAAGTTGTATTAAACATTTACATTCTTTAAACATCAATATTCACAGAGTTATTAAATTTTCCAAAACAAAGAATTTTAGAACATCCTTACGTATAAAACTGTAACTTAAAGTTCATTTGTAAAGGTCACAAAGCATATGAATGGGTTGAATGAATTTAAAAGAGACAAGACATACTGTTAGAAGGAGAGGCTTGTAATGCGAGGCTTTGGCAACGAATGAAAGTCTCTGAATGTATAAATCAGTCAGTTGTAGTTGTATAGAATGTTACAAATTTTGTTTCTTTTTTACTTAATTAGTTTGTTTGAAAAATATTTCTTTTTAATTATGGATTTTGTGTAACGTTATTATTTTTTTATGATTATTGGCAAGTAGCGTTAGACGTGTGTTCATTTATTGTCGCGATGGTAACGACACGCTGTATATATCTTGTATTAACTGATGTTTTTGCTTTCAGTCCCGAGACTATTAAAGCTTCATCGGACGCAGAACCGGTGGGCTAGCCAGAACCCACGGGTTTGGACCCTCCGCTATGGGTAGGGTCGCGCATGTGCTCATGCGTGCGTTTAATTATGGTATGTCATCTAAGGGCCGTCGAGGTCGCGGTTCGGACCGAGACCCCGACGGCCGTCGACTGTGCATTTAGCTAATCGGTGGCTGGGAGCGGTGAGAACCGCCCCGGAACGCGGGTGTACCTTGTGTACGCGTTGTGTGGGTCTCGCCGTGCTCGTAGGCGAGGGCGAACTGGTGTGATTGTTGTTACACTAACTGTGGGTGTAGTGTTATCCGGCGGGACCCCCGGCGGTGGGTCCATCGTATCTAAGTCCTCTTCGTCGACCGGGTCGATGAGGACGTTTCGCCGGCGACGCTTGTTTACGTTCGCGTTAGTGTCCGGTTGGTAGTTTGCTGCGCTTACCACAAGAGGGTTGGGATGATGCTGGACTCTATCGAAGAACCGTTTTGTCAAATCTTTAAAATGTGCGCGAATCGTCGGGAGTCTGCAATCGCTGTGCAGGTCGACGTTGCGCTGATACCACTGCGCACCGGTTGCGCGGCGGATAAACATATTTTGTACTATTTCCAACTTGTACAAGCGAGTAGGGTGCGTGTGGGCGAAGATCATGCATGCGTAGGACATAATAGGTCGTACGCAGGTCTTATATAATAATAATTTGTGCCTTAAGGGCATTTTACTTTTAGCACTAGTTAAATTGTGGAGCCGGCCGGAGACGAACGCGGCTCTATTACGAACGTTATTAATGTGCGTAGTAAATGACATACGCGAGTCGAAAGTGACTCCTAAGTATTTGACCTTTTTCTCCCAGGGGAGCGGTTGGCCATAAAGGGATATTTGCCCCAACTTTCTGCATTGGCGAGGGCCATTATAAAGATGTGACGGGTAGGTACTTCGTGTGAATTGAATCGCCACACTCTTTTCGGGATTTATTTCTATTCTCCATTTGCGGAACCAATCGCCGAGGCGGTCGGCGGCGCTTTGGAGTCGAGTGGTTAGTATTCTAAGGTTGCGGTGTAAATAAAAGAGCGCGGTGTCATCCGCGAAAAGCGCGAGATTGACGTGGGTCTTTGGGTATGTCGCTCGTGTAGAGCGTAAAGAGCAAAGGTGAGAGGCAGGAGCCTTGTGGTACGCCGGCCGTGAGGCGGCGGCTTGTGGAGAGGGTGCCCTCGACTCGATATCGAAAAGAGCGATTCAACAAAAAGGCCCGGATGGTGTGTACGAGCCTATCTGGCACTTTGAGTGTGTACAGCTTGTAAAGCAAGCCGTTGTGCCAGACTTTGTCGAAAGCTTTTGCGACATCGAAGAAGAGAGCCCCTATGCTGATGTGTTTGGGGTGGTTTAGGCCTTTTAGGATGTGCTCCGTTAGGCGGTATAACTGGTCGGGACATGAGTGTCTAGCTCGAAAGCCGAATTGTTCCGTCGGCAGAAGGCCGTTGGAAAATACGTGCTCTTTGAGCCTGTTTAACAAGAGCCGCACGTAGAGCTTCCCCAGGCAACTGAGGAGGCTGATGGGACGATAGCTAGAGGGCTGATTAGCTGGTTTATTCGGCTTGCGAATGCCGATAACCGTGGCTTGCTTCCAGTCGTACGGAAAGGAGCAACTGGAGAGAAGGGTATTGAAAATGGTCGCTAGTAAACAGATAAGCGGCCCAGGGAGAGCTTTGAGAATCTTATTACTTATATTATCTGGGCCCGGGGCGGATTTTGGTTTTAAATTTTTAATAATATCTTGGACCTCTTCGGGGGTCACTGAATTTAAAGGTTCGCCTTCCGGTGGAAGCGCAGCCCTAGTCTCGATTACGTGGTCCACCTCCGTTAGGTGGACTGAATCGGTGTGATCGCGCGATGGCGTACATTGCTGCTCTAGGTTGTCCGCAAGGCATTCGGCTTTTTCGGAGTCATCTAGGGCTACTGAAGCGCTATTAGGTCTAACTAACGGCGGTAGAGATTCGCGGGGGTCTGCTTTCAGACTGCGGGCCAACCGCCAGTAGGCGGTGTGCGATGGCTCGATGTTCTCTAGGAGAGTGTCCCACGTTGTGTGTCGGTGTTCCGATACACGATCTTTGACTTCTAGCTGAAGTCGTCGAAGTTGGGCTCGGTTCGATTCCGATCGGTATCGGTCGAAGGCGCGTGTGGCTGCATTTTTCTGTCTAATTAGCAGTCTTAGGTCGGGCGGAAAGTTAAACCGTCGGTCGCCCGACAGTTTCACCGTCCGTTCCGAGTCTGTGACTGCGAAAATAATAGTTTCTCGGAGACTCGCTATCGCTCGATTTGCGTCATCGAACGTAGCTATCGTCTCGGGTAAGTCTTCTAAGTCCTGGGGGTCCAAGGCCTTGAGTTTGACCTCAAGACAATGCCAGTCCACTACGGATTTGGTCGGAGGGACCGCGCCGGCGTTCTGGCCGAGTTTACACAGGACGGGCCTGTGGTCTGAGTCTAGTTCATGGATTGTCTCTATCGACTCCATGTCGAGCGAGACCTCCCTGAATAACATGATATCTAGGACACTCGGTGACGCGTGTTGGTAGCTGTCCACCGTAGGATACCTAGTGGGAGTCGCGGGAGCGACTATGCTAAAGTTTAGGTTATCGGATAAGCTAAAGAGATGCTTTCCGTTGTTATTTGGGATGCTGTTGGTGTCCCATGAGCCGTGTTTGCAGTTTAGATCTCCTGCAATTATCACGGAAGGGCCTAAGTTAAGAAGCGTATCTAGGTCGCTTTGAAGTAAGGTTCTATTCGCCGAGAGGTAGGCTGAGACTAGTACAAGCGGCCTGTGGCCGGTGAGCGCTAACCTACACGCGGATGCCTCTATTTGACTTAGCTCTGGAATGTCGAGGGGGCAACAGTGCAAGGACCGTTTATAATAAATTAATGTGCCTCCCAGACGGTTTGCTAACCGGTCGTGGCGGACAATATTGTAATTTGCGATTCTGGGATCGCGTACACTAGGTTTCAAGAATGTCTCTTGCACTAGAAAAATATCTACGTTGTAGTCGCGAAGGAATTCCGCGATTTCGTCCCTTTGACCCTTTATGCCGTTTGCGTTGAAATACGAAACAACCAGAGCCCGAGGTTTTGTTCTACCTGCGGTTGTACTTCCCATTAAGGTGTTTTTATGGGTCTAATTAACGACGCGGCGGAGCGCGGTTTTATTGCGCGGACTATTGTCTTTTACGGTTGGCTCGTAAAAGCCCAAAGGGCTTCCACAAGCGTTTTATGTTGGCTAATTGCCCTAAGACGCTCGTTGCCAGATGTGGCGGCCGCTATTTTAGCGGACAATACGGCGAGTTCCTGCCTATTGATCCTATCTAATAGGCTGCAGATGTTTGCGATTTGCGCGAACGGGTCGTCCTTGTTTTCCGCGAAAACTGACGGAGTTGGCTGCACCTGCGGCCGCGGCGCCATTTGAGAGGCGGGCAGCTGTGCGATCGGTCGTGAGGCGACCGGGATTACCGGCGTGGTTACCTGCGCGGCCACCTGGGGTTTCGCCCAGGCGTTAGTGACGGGTACAGGCGCGGGAACGTATTTATCGGGCGCGGGTTTGGGCAACGTAGATTTCGCGGGAGATTTTCTCGCGGGAGTTTTCGGGGCCTTAGCACAGCCTCTATTGCTAGCCGGGTGGCCGGTAGCGTGACAGTTTACGCAGTCCGGTGGATCTGCGCAATCTTTTGGCCTCGTGTACTCGGTTGTGCCGTGGTCACCGGTGCATTTGACGCACCTAGGGTGAGCGAAGCAATTATTGGCCATGTGGCCAAAATGTTGACAGTTGTGGCACTGTGCCACAACACCTGATTTGCGCGGGGGCTCGATGACTAAGTCACTGAGCCCACAGACCCTCTTTAGGTTGAAGATTGCCTTACCTTCCGGGGTAGGGTCAAGTTCAACCATGACCATGTCCATAGGGACGCGGGTTCTGGGGTGCCTAAGACGTCGCACTGCATGTACGGGGTATCCCTGAGTGCGGATATCGACTTTAGCCTTATCGACATCCGACTCTTTGGGGACGCCCTTTATTACTACCCGAAGTTTACGCTCTTCGGGCAACGAGTAGATGTGAAAACCTACCTTATTTTCGCGTAAATACTTGGTTACGCGGCGGAAATCGTCTGTTGTGTCCAGGTATACGCGGATACCCATGTGTGTATTTTTTGACCGGAGGTCGCGGATGTTGTGGCGTTTAAACCACGAGCATACTTGATGCCACTTTGCCTTTTCTTGAATAATTATTGGCGGCGGTGGCTTAATTTTTCGCTCGGAGGCGAATTCGGGTACCAATTGGGCAGCCGCGGCTGGCTTTTTGGCGGGCGTTGCGGTGGGACGGTTAGATGGGGCGGTCTCGCATTCGGGGTCGCTGTCAGTTGCGTGGCGTTTTTTGCCCTTTTTGCGCGACTTTACGACGGTGAAGCCATCGGCGTTCGCGTTATCAGCGGGGGTCGTTTCGTCCTCCATGTCCGAGCCGCCGTCCGATTGTGAGTCGGGAACGACATCGCGGAAGGGGGCCGAAATTGGTTGCGTGGAAGGCGCGTTGGGTTCGTTCGCGGCGGCGGAAGTCGACGCGACGGGCGTTACTAGTGTCGCAGAAGGCTCATTAGCTGGCGCAGAGGGCACCGGAGATGGCGGCGAGGCGACTGCCGGTGAAGTCAGGTTGTCGCTAGCGTATTCGACGACGCGGCGTTTCTCCGCGGCGAAGGCGAGAAAGCTGCGCCACATTTCGGGGCATCGTTCGCGAATGAATTCCTCTAAGAGGGAACCCATAACGGCGCTTGAACCTTTGGGGCTTGCGCCCCGCCGGCGTGTAGTTTCTAAATAGGCCTCCCCACCTTGCGGCAGGGAGGTGTGTGCCTAAAACTAACAACTATTTCACCTGCGCTTTAGTTGCGCTAGGGTGGGTACCTAGCTCCCCCCGTCGTGCTGCCACCTTGTTGTGGTGGAGTGGCTTGCGTGACCTAATGACCTCCAAGGCTATGCCGGATAGGGTCTCCCATACCGGACAGGCTCGGAGCGAGGGACCAGACGAAGAGCAGCACAAGGAGGGGCTCTCCGTGTGATTCACTCATCAGCAGAGAACACATCGGATAGGGCCTAGGAGGACGGGTCGGCGCGCTGACTAATCTCAGTGCGTCTGACGCCACCGTCGGAGGAGATTTCGCCAACTCCTCGTTCCGCAACCAGCGACTCACTTCAACGACCCTTCTGGTGGCTCCAGTTGGAGATGTTGTGTGGGTATTTGGGTGTGTGTATGTGTTTGGGTGTGTATATGTGTGAGTGCTTCTGTGTCGCTGGTCGGAGGGCTTGCCTTAATTGGCCGGCCCGCGGGAAGGAAAACCCTATAAAGCCCGAGAGAACCCTCGTTAAAACCTGTGGATACCTGGGGACCTCCACAGTATGTACCCCACTCCACTTTTTAGTCGACCGGAATGGGCGTAACCCGGGGAGTGCATCTATATCGTCCCAACTCGTGGGAATAAAAATGGAAAAGAAAAATCTAAAAGGAAATGACGTTCTTAAGGAGTTAGGCGTACAGCTCGAACGCTGTGATACCCAAAGAAAGGAGGATGGCCCTTTGACATCAACCACAGTAGGGAGTTTAGAGGAGGTAGGCGGTATATCCGCGTCAGATTCTGGCTCTGAAATGAGCCTGGAATTGGAAAAAAGCGTAGCTAGCAACGCTAGCTTCGCCAGTATGGGTAGCGGAGAGGCCCAGAGAGTGCGCAAGAAGCGCACTCGCGCACTCGGATGCAGACGCCGAAGCAGATGATCATCCGGAATCTTCGGCGTTCAAAAGGAGAGGCTTCCCTGTGCCTAAAAGGGGTAGAGGCCGCCCGCCCAATAGTGGGCAGTATTTGGGGCTGGCGAAAGGGAAGCGGGAGCTCATGGAAGCCATGAGGCAGAGATGGAGCTCCAGGCGGAGAAGGAGGTTCCAGAGCTGATCCAAAGGCGCCGGCTCGATAGAGCATTGCGCCCCGCTGGCTTTGACGACGTAGTCGACTCTCGCCTTTCTTCGACCCTGCTTGAGAGGGTCGATGATGGCATTAAAGTCATCACCAAAGTCGCTACGAAATCAAAGAACCTGAAGGGCACTTTTGTAAAAGCCCTTAAGGAAGCGGCTGAGATGATCCGGGAGGCGGTGAACGCTCTACAGAGCATATCATCGACTGATGAAACCCGCCGCCTCCAGGCCGACAACAAACGGCTGCGGGACGAGGTGGCGACGCTCCAAAAGGAGGTTGCTAGCATGCGTCTCAGTATAGAGAAGGCGGCTCGCCCAGCCCAGGAACGGACGCCGGCACCAACACTGCAGGCTGAGCATATCGCGCGTGATGTACTATCCCAAGTAGGACGATGATCAGCGCGCGATTCGAGGCTCTCGAGGAGCGCTTGCTCCCGGAGAAGCGCCTGAGGCCGCCTTTGGCTGCGGATAGGCGTAGCGCCGAACCTGGGCCTTCATCGGCACCAGATCCCACCCCTACCTCTCTGGGAGAGACATGGAGTGCAGTGGTACGGAAGGGAAAGGGGAAGGGAAAGAAGACAGTGCCCGCGCTTGACGTGCAGATGTCGGCTTCCATCTCCGCCAAGCCAAAGAAGTCTGTGGCTAAGCCCGTCGCGACGCCTAAGCCACCTGCGGCCGCCGTGAAATCTATTACGGTGCCGAGGCCCCCATTGGTCGCAACGGGATCCGCTGCGGTGCCCAAGTCCGGTACGGCATCAAGACCCGCTGTGGCCACTGCGACGCCAGCCGCCGCTAATAAAAAGAAGCGGAGGCGTAGAGGCCGCAAACTACGTGCCCCTACGACGGCAGCCGTAGTAATCACACTACAGCACGATGCCGTCGAAAAGGGGGTTACGTATAGTGATGTCCTAACCAAAGCCCGTCAGAGGTTAGATCTGACGGCCTTGAACATCCCGGCAGGCCTGAAAGTAAGGCAGGCGGCCCCGGGAGCTCGAGTTCTCGAGCTTCCAGCAGGGGTCACGAGCGAAGCAGCGGACAGTTTCGCCGCGAAGCTCCGTGAGGTCCTCGCCGGAGAGGCACGGATCGCCAGGCCGGTGAAGTGCGCGGATTTGCGTCTTACTGGCCTGGATGATTCCGTCACCAGGGATGAGGTGCTCGCTGCGATTGTCGCTGCAGCCGCCTGTCCCCTTGACCACGTCAAGGCGGGCGAAATTCGGGAGGGCCGCCGGGGCACTGGCTGCATCTGGGTGCAATGTCCAGTGGCAGCTGCTAAGGTCCTGGTGTCAGCTCGGAGTATGAGGATTGGCTGGAGCTATGTGCACGTCGAGTCCCTGGAGCCGCGCCCTATGAAGTGCTTCCGATGCCTAGAAATCGGGCACACGCGACTCCAGTGCACTTCGGAGGTGAACCGCAGCGATATTTGTTATCGCTGCAGTGCTCCTGGACACAAAGCAGCGGCATGCTTAGCCAAACCCCACAAGTTGCAGGTAGGCCAGCTGAGCACTCGGTGGGGGCTAAGGGTTGCTCCCCACCGAAAAAAGGGAAAAAAGCCGGCAGGACCCCGGCCTCCCAGCAGGTGGATCGGGATTCGTCCCGACAAGAGGAAATGTGTGTCGACTCTAATAATGGATAGGGATAGACATTTCCTCCAGATAAACCTAAACCATTGCGCCGGTGCCCAGGATCTATTATTCCAGGCACTGGCGCAATGGCAAATTGGACTGGCGGTGGTAGCGGAGCCTTATTGCATACCCGCCAACTGGATAGGGGATGCTACGGGCACGGCGGCCATCTATGTTCCAGATGGTACCACGCCCCTTTCCGTCAAAGAGAGGGGAAATGGTTTTGTTGCGGCCGACTGGGGGAAATACACAATATTCTCGGTGTATTTTTCCCCAAACAAAACCCTCGCTGAGCTCGAGACGCTCCTCGGTGATACGCAGGCGGCCATTAGGCGAGTTGCACCTCGACCGGTAATTGTGGCGGGCGACTTTAATGCCAAGAATACGGCTTGGGGATCGCCTGCCACAGACGTGCGGGGGATTGCGGTTGAAGACTGGGCCACGGAATCTGGCAGCTGGCCATCCTGAGGGCCAAAGACACTGCCTGGGGTGAGCTCCTCGCGGGCTTGGACCGCGATCCCTGGGGTCGTCCATACCGAGCAACTAGGGGCAAGCTTGGTCGGGGTCCGCCGCCTGCTGAATCTATTTCACCGGAACGGCTGGCCACGGTGCTGGAGGCGTTGTTCCCGGCCCCAACTGGCGTTTATCCCACCGGTGCCTGAGCCGGAAACCACCGAGGAGGTGCCTCTGGTATCCGAGGGTGAGATGGGAGCCGCACTTCTGCGGCTTCGTGGGCGCAAAACGGCCCCTGGCCCCGATGGTGTGCCCGGCAGGGCTCTGGTCTTGGCCTTGGGGCCCCTAGAGGAACGCTTGAGGGAGCTTTTCACCGCTTGTCTTCGGCGTGGAGAGTTCCCGCAGTGTTGCAAGGCGGGCAGGGTTGTTCTCCTTCGTAAGGAGGGACGCCCTGAAGAATCGCCCTCGGCTTACCGGCCAATCATCCTGTTGGACAAGGCCGGTAAGCTGTTGGAGAGGGTGGTCGCCTCGCGCATCATACGTCATATGATTCTTGCCCGCGGCGCGACGCATCAGGAGGCGACCCAGCTGGCGGTGGTCGGTGTGGGACTAGTGGTGTCCCGCATCAGAGCTCAAGGCCTACGGGTGGCCCTTGAGAAAACCAAGGCCCTATTTTTCCATGGCCCTAGAAGGAGGCTGGCTGCAGGCACACCACTCCGGATCGGAGAAGTGGAGGTCCGGGTCGAGTCCGAGATGAAGTATCTCGGACTCGTCCTAGACGGACGGTGGACGTTCGCCGCTCACTTTCGCCGGCTGACACCGAATCTGTTAAAGGTATCCGCTGCTCTTGGACGCCTCTTGCCTAATGTGGGGGGACCAGGGTCGGTCTGCCGCCGCCTGTACATGGGGGTCATCAGATCGATGGCCCTCTACGGAGCTCCTGTGTGGGTGGATGCCTTGAGTGCCCCGAATAGAGCGTTGCTGCGACGACCGCAGCGCGCCATGGCACTCAGGGCTATACGCGGCTACCGCACAGTGGCCGGCGAGGCGGCGTGTGCTTTGGCGGGATCCCCACCATGGGACTTAGAGGCTAAAGTCCTCGCGGAGGTATATCGCCGAGTCGCTGAGACGAAGGGGTGCGGCGATAACGTTTCCACCGAACGAATCGCAAGGTGGCGACGCCAGGCGCGCGTCATTTTGATGCGCACCTGGCAGGAACGTTTGGCGGCTCCCACTGCCGGACATAGAGTGGCACAGGCCATTAGGCCTGTCCTGGAGAAGTGGATCGGTTCCCGAAATGGCAGTTTGTCATTCCGGATGGTGCAGGTGATGACTGGGCATGGATGCTTCGGTCATTACCTGCACGCTATCGGGAGGGAACCGAGCCAAAGGTGCCACCATTGTGCCTGCGCCGACGATACGGCGCAGCACACGATGACGGAATGCCCGGCGTGGGAGGAGCCGCGAGGGCGGCTCCGTGACGTCGTCGGGTCGGATCTCTCGCTGCCGGCCATCTTTAGAACAATGGTCGACAGCAGGGGGCGGCGTGGAGGGCGATGGCCTCCTTCTGCGAGACAGTCGTCTTACAGAAGGAGGCCGCCGAAAGGGAGAGGGAGGAGAATGCTTCTTCCGACCCGATCCGGCGACGTCGCATGGGGAGAAGGCGGGCGGCACACGAGCGCCGTCTCCCGCCCTAATGGGCCTCCGGGTGACAGACGTGGGGACGTCTGTCACCTAACGGTATGAGGCCCCGCGAAGGCTAAGTGCCCACTGGTGTCATGGGCACTCATGCGGAGGACGGGAACAAAAGTCCCTTCGTGGTGTGCCCCTGCCCTGTGCAGGGTCGGGGTAGCCGTGGCTGGGTTGCAGCAGAATCGCTTAAGCGGGCCCTGCAATCCAGCATTTGACGGCAGAGGAGGACACCCGATGGGTTTTAGTTGGTAGGTCTGCCCTTCTCAGAGCGGGAGTCCAACATAACTCTCCTTGCTTCCCCTAAGGAGAGTATGCATGATGCATTTCCCATCGTTAAAAAAAAAAAAAAAAAAAGGGTGGGTACCTAGCTGTCGCCTATCGCAACAAGCACACAGTTATTAAATAAAACAATGCCGCCTCTGAGGCAAGAAGTGTGTATAGAATTCTACTTACAGAACAGGAACCTGCCTACGAGCACAACACTACACTAACACTAAACTGCAGCACTGCTTGCACAAAGATTTAATTTGCAACCGAAGTTGCGAGTAGCGTCTAATTCGGGTGGCATGAGCCCTCCGTCTTAGAGAGACGTCCGTTCCGCACGAGAGCACGAAGCGGAATCACGCTGTATATAAGGATGGTAGAGCCTCATAGAAGAGCAGCGTGTAATGTAAATATATTAGTTTCGCGTTTCATCTGATACGTGGTGTCCCACCAGGTTGTTGTTGTCACTTTTAAAGGTTGTCAACGCATCTGCAAGACCTCAGACGTTGAAGATTTTCATGGGCGGCGGTAATCACTTAACATCATGTGATGCTGCTTACTTGACAACTTTTCACATAATAAAAATAGCAATCCATCATCTGTTGCTTGTGTTTTTAATAGAAATTAAAAAAAAGTAATTAATAACGTCCAACGATTGCATGAGTTCGGACACACAACTTCAGTAACTGAGCGTGTCTTCAGAAATTTATTTGTATAGCCAAGATACAATATATACAACTTACCTGCACGTAAATTAAGATTCTCCTGCTTATCTTCATCGATAAACAAAACGTAGCCATTATCAATTTCATCTATTTTAACACCACAAAGTTTAGTCTGCTTCTGTGAAATAATGTTATTATTATTTTTGATTGTATACAATGACCATGTGTGCCCGTGATGGATATATTATATGTATGTGAAACGTACATTAAATGACTTCTTGTGAAATTAATGCATTGTGAAATTTAACTTTTTAGGCACGTTTTGGGGAAATCTAGTGCCGTATTAATAAAGAAAAACGTGATATTCGTTCATCAAGACATATAATTTGACACCAAAACTGATAGAATTACAGTTCAGTAATTATAACAATAATGTAACAATAAGAAACAAAATTATGACTCGTTGGCGCAGTTGTTAAGCCATTGACTTCGGCGCCGGGGTTTGTGGGTTTGATTACAACAAGGTAAAAGTACTTTTGTGGCTCAAAGATAATTTTTCCGATATGGGAGCTTGTTCCCAAAGGCAGGTGGCCAGTCGTAAAACACCTAGACAATATCATTAACCACCTGACTGACATGTGACAACACTGACGACCCCACCTTGATGGGGATGGGGATAAGAAATAGAAAAATAATAATAAAACTTTAGAAGAAAATTAAACGCGAACACAATAAAACCGTAAACAGTTTTAACATAGGTGAACTTTTCTTCGTTTCGTCGAAACCGTGTTGCATCGAACGACAAAAATACACTTACTAGCTGTTGTGACTTATGACGTTCTTCAAGCCATAGTACGTAGTGAAAGAACTTTAAATAATTCTCCCTCGAAACTCCATCCTTCAGTACCATCCTATAGTAAAAGGACAAATTGCATCGGTAAGTATATTATTATATACATCACTAGCGAACCGCCCCGGCTTCGCACGGGTGCAATGTATTATACATATAAACCTTCCTCGTGAATCACTCTACCTAGTAAAAAAACCGCATCAAGATCCGTTGAGTACTTTTAAAGATCTAAGCATACATAGGGACAGACAGACAGCGGGACGACTTTGTTTTATACTATGTAGTGAGATAACAACAGTTCTCTCAACACAAGAATGAAATCAACTGGTTTCAATTGAGCAAAAAAGAAAATGGGAGTTTTCGATTTATAAAACTAATTTAGCGATGAATACAGCTAAATTTGTTTTGTAATAAAGAAAACTTCAAAGTGCCTTCTTACTATAATCGTTATTCATTCATTGTTCTGCTAAAAAATACTGTTCTCTTCGGTGTAAATGGTCTACTATTTCATAAAAAATACAGTTCACTAAATACGTTTAGCACCTGCCATCTGCTTTTCACCATGACAAGGTTTGACTAGTAGACAATGCCACTAGGCATTAGGAAGAAGACTTGCAAAAAAAGATTAAGTAAATAAATAAAAAAAAGTTTTTTTGTTCACGGAATGAGAGATTTTGAGAAAACGGTCGTGCTCTCTCTGTGTGTTACGATTTCATTAATATAAACTTTATATTATTTTAAGTACTTATCACTTGTCTGGGCTAGTCTATATAAATAGTCTATTCTTTAACTGAATTGCTTCGAACAAGCAATTAAGTTGAAAAGAAAGTGCAAAGCATAGATCGCGTTGTTATACAGTTCGGAAGTTTAATACAGCTTTTCTTTTTTTTATATATATTTTCGGACACATTTTTTTACACAACGTTCTCTAATCCCGAACTAAGCAACGCTTGTTTACCCACAGTGTACTAGAAAACTGATAAACATACTTTTCTTTTGTAAATAAATACATACTATACATATGTAAACACCCAGACACTGGAAAAACACGATGTTCATCACACAATAGTTTTCCAGTAGTGGGGACTGAACCCACACACTCAGGCGCAAGAGGCAGGGTTCCTCCCCTGCCACTCCCAACGCCAATCGGGTCTTCAATTCTTTGGTAAAAATATGATTAGTCCAAGAAACTAGGGGTTTAGAAATGGAACATTCATTTAAAACAAAGACGGGGAAAAGTGGCCTACGACCGGGGTGGGTCATTCAAATAATCACTCTGAAACTTGTCGAAAATTAGTCAATACATCATTAATTTATTATTGCCCAAAAATTTAAAAGGATATTTATATTTACTTACGATATTTTTAACGTTTGTGGATCATATTCATCCATCTCATTAATTCTTTCGTTACGGGAAACTGTTGCTGCGTATGCAATTATCTCCGGCGGAATTGGATACCTTCTGTAAATAAATTAATAAAAACATTTTTCGTAGAAACTAAGAGATATTATTGTGGAAACAAATACTGGAATTATTTTCATAATCTTCCAGTATTTTGTTTAATATTATCCACGTGAGATTTTTCATTTTATAAACCACACATGAGACCCGTTATATTTAAAAAAAAATTAACTATGATGCTGGCAACTCCGTTTGCAGAAACGCGATAGATAGGCTTCATCAACATTTAAAATTAATGTCACAGCGCCTGAGAAATTGCTCTGTTTTCACATTCTAGCTAAAAATCTACCAATAGCGTAAAATAATTACTAAATGCGTGATTCAGCTTTGCAGTGCCTGCTTATCTCTCAAGCTATTATGAATATTTGCTTCGAAGTTTGGCCCTGAGAAGAATTGCCTTGCAGAGCGAAACATGAATCTACGGGGATATAAAGTTATCAGCCTAAGCGAGTTCGAAGAAATTTTTCCCAATTTACTCGACACAAATTCGTACACAACGTACACATTTTGTACGATAAGTCTAGGCTGGCCCGTGCTTTCATAGGCCGAGTACACAAGAATGAAATCAACTGGTTTCAATTGAGCAAAAAAGAAAATGGGAGTTTTCGATTTATAAAACTAATTTAGCGATGAATACAGCTAAATTTGTTTTGTAATAAAGAAAACTTCAAAGTGCCTTCTTACTATAATCGTTATTCATTCATTGTTCTGCTAAAAAATACTGTTCTCTTCGTGTAAATGGGTGTAATGGCTTTTCACCATGACTAGTAGACAATACTAGGCATTCATAAAAAATATTAAGTTCCATAAATACGTTTAGCACCTCGATTTATAAAACTAATTTAGCGATGAATACAGCTAAATTTGTTTTGTAATAAAGAAAACTTCAAAGTGCCTTCTTACTATAATCGTTATTCATTCATTGTTCTGCTAAAAAATACTGTTCTCTTCGGTGTAAATGGTCTACTATTTCATAAAAAATACAGTTCATTAAATACGTTTAGCACCTGCCATCTGCTTTTCACCATGACAAGGTTTGAGTAGTAGACAATGCCACTAGGCATTACGCATTAGGAAGAAGACTTGCAAAAAAAGATTAAGTAAATAAATAAAAAAAAGTTTTTTTGTTCACGGAATGAGAGATTTTGAGAAAACGGTCGTGCTCTCTCTGTGTGTTACGATTTCATTAATATAAACTTTATATTATTTTAAGTACTTATCACTTGTCTGGGCTAGTCTATATAAATAGTCTATTCTTTAACTGAATTGCTTCGAACAAGCAATTAAGTTGAAAAGAAAGTGCAAAGCATAGATCGCGTTGTTATACAGTTCGGAAGTTTAATACAGCTTTTCTTTTTTTTATATATATTTTCGGACACATTTTTTTACACAACGTTCTCTAATCCCGAACTAAGCAACGCTTGTTTACCCACAGTGTACTAGAAAACTGATAAACATACTTTTCTTTTGTAAATAAATACATACTATACATATGTAAACACCCAGACACTGGAAAAACACGATGTTCATCACACAATAGTTTTCCAGTAGTGGGGACTGAACCCACACACTCAGGCGCAAGAGGCAGGGTTCCTCCCCTGCCACTCCCAACGCCAATCGGGTCTTCAATTCTTTGGTAAAAATATGATTAGTCCAAGAAACTAGGGGTTTAGAAATGGAACATTCATTTAAAACAAAGACGGGGAAAAGTGGCCTACGACCGGGGTGGGTCATTCAAATAATCACTCTGAAACTTGTCGAAAATTAGTCAATACATCATTAATTTATTATTGCCCAAAAATTTAAAAGGATATTTATATTTACTTACGATATTTTTAACGTTTGTGGATCATATTCATCCATCTCATTAATTCTTTCGTTACGGGAAACTGTTGCTGCGTATGCAATTATCTCCGGCGGAATTGGATACCTTCTGTAAATAAATTAATAAAAACATTTTTCGTAGAAACTAAGAGATATTATTGTGGAAACAAATACTGGAATTATTTTCATAATCTTCCAGTATTTTGTTTAATATTTAACGCAAATTTCCACGTGAGATTTTTCATTTTATAAACCACACATGAGACCCGTTATATTTAAAAAAAAATTAACTATGATGCTGGCAACTCCGTTTGCAGAAACGCGATAGATAGGCTTCATCAACATTTAAAATTAATGTCACAGCGCCTGAGAAATTGCTCTGTTTTCACATTCTAGCTAAAAATCTACCAATAGCGTAAAATAATTACTAAATGCGTGATTCAGCTTTGCAGTGCCTGCTTATCTCTCAAGCTATTATGAATATTTGCTTCGAAGTTTGGCCCTGAGAAGAATTGCCTTGCAGAGCGAAACATGAATCTACGGGGATATAAAGTTATCAGCCTAAGCGAGTTCGAAGAAATTTTTCCCAATTTACTCGACACAAATTCGTACACAACGTACACATTTTGTACGATAAGTCTAGGCTGGCCCGTGCTTTCATAGGCCGAGTTAAACTGGCCGCCACCCATTTTGGATAATAGTTTGGAACTTCCTTGTTCATGACGACTTTAAATTGATTTCAGATAAAAATTAAGATAAATTTCAAGCGTTAGACATTAAATTATTGTGAATGGTATCTAGAAAATATGGAACGTCTAAAATAAGGGCGGACAAATAATCGCAAGCTATGAGTAAAGTGATCAAGTATACAATCAATATACCATTGACACATGAAACATTCATTCGTTATTTTCTCGAATCCAGGCTAATGAAGTGTCATTCCTTTTGCAATTTTCTGCAATTATCATTCAATTTATACTACTAATTTCATTTTCTGTGATCTGAGATCAGAGTCTCACCTAACAGGCTAATGTCTGAGTAAATTCCGCCTGTCTTAAATATTGGCCTGCATAGCAACAAAAGTATGCTATGCACACACCAGACCCTGCTTAAATAATCTGCAATCAATGTAGTAAAGTTAAAAGTAAAGTAACAGCTTATACATATCCCGCTGCTAGACTAAGGCCTCTGTACAGATGGTATTAGGACATAGTCCACAACGCGGCCCCGCTGCAGATTTGCGGACTTCACATATCTTCGAAAAATTTTTTGTTATTATTTCAAAAATATGTAGGTTTCCTCACGATGTTTTCCCTCAACGTTTAGCACATGATCAGTAAGCACTTAAAATTAACTATTTCATTGGTGCCGGCACCGGGGATCGAAATCAGGTCGCTAGAGTAAATACATCGCCCGGACACTGAGCTATCATAGCCCCGTGCTGCTGGTGTGCTCACGGCTGCAACCAAACGTAACGACTTTAAATGGTAAAGGTTTTTTTGTAGATAAATTAACAAAAATCTTCTGCGATGCGGGATTTGAACCTGCGCGAAACCAGAAGAAATCATGTCTGTTGCATGGGAGCTCCACTTAAATATTTTTTATTTGTTGTTACAGCGGCGACAGAAATACATCATGAAAATTTCAACTGTCTTACTATCACGGTTCATGAGATACAGGCTGTAGTCTGGTGACAGACGGACAGACAGACAGCGAAGTCTTAGTAACAGAGTCCCGTTTTTCCCTCTGGGAACGGAACCCTAATAAAAATTAATCTAGCTCAGTTTTCCAATGACTTGCATTGAGTTGGAGGTTGATATTTTTTACAGAAAGGTTACATTATTATATGCACAAACCTCTGAATTTTGCCATATTTGAACGGTGAACTATTATATTCCGATTTGTGCTTTTTACGTTAATTTTTACTTTTACTTTTATATTGATACAGAAGTCCCTCTGAATCAGTAACCCTATTTTTTCTGATTAGGGGGGAAACCCCTTCCCCTCAAAGGGTTCCCTTTTTTTTACACTTATTACAATAAAATGAAGAAAATTTCCACAGAATCAAAAATTAAAATAAAAACTCGAAAAGGGAGCGGGGGAGATTTTCCGCAACTGTTCTTCTAAGGGAAGGTAATACCCCTCCTCCCACCCCAGTTCCTCTCCCGCCTGTCAATCCAACGGACGTCAATGGAAAAAACACTTTTTCCAAAGACGAACAGCTTTGGATGTACACAAATGATTTCTCAGATACATTTGAAATCGTCACAATTGACTGAATCGTTCCTTTTTACTTAACATCCTGTAGTCAGTCTTCATTTTTTTATAGCCACTCTTCATTCTTTTATAGTCACCATCTTCCAAAAATACAGTCCAGATGAACAGACAAAGATTTGTTGAATATTCTATCCGTCCATTCTGGTCTTCTTTCATTCCGTTATCTGGTATTGCTATTTGTTAAAAGTCATCAGATGTAAACGAATAAGCACCGCCGTCTATAACACCTTAGGCGTTTAGGCAGAAAATATCGATATATCGAAATATCGATATTTATCCATCCAATTATTTATTTTTTTTTATGCGAAAAGTTGTCAAACGAGCAGACGGTTCACCTGATGTTAAGTGAATACCGCCACCCATGGACATCTGCTACACCCGAGGGTTACAGATGTGTTGACAACCTTTTGAAGTTTGGGCTCCGGCTACCTCACTTACCAAACGAAACGCGAAAGTATTTGTCATACTTCCACTTGACGCCGGTCTTCTGTGAGGTCGTGGTACTTACGTCGATTCTTTTTTACGAATTTTGAATGGTTTGGAAATGTGTATGAATAATGTGAAAGCTGACGATATATTGATATTTTTTACTAGATAATTATCGATACTTTTACTTAGAACTTCAAAGGGCTTTATGACTATGCACACGTCGAACAAGTTCTATTTTACAATGTTTCAACAATGTTTTACATTGTTCTACGTTTTTTTCCGACTCGACAAGTTCATTTCCGTTGACTAAACAAAATTCTCAGAAAAATGTTCTTGTGCCATGAACACTAATACCACGGGACAGCTTTAAAATAAACACATGCCAACACAGGCACTATTGATAAAAAAGAGCGAGAAATTAGCTACGATTTGAAAGAAGTACTATTTAGGTTGATTTTACCAATTGTCAATTATAAATTGGATGAAGGCAGTAAAAAAGAATTTGCATATATTTTATAAAACTAATAATAAGCCTCGTATCGGCGGTCGCTTATAGTTTTCCAGGAAAAAAAAAAGAAAACATTATTTTCGCTTCAGAAATCCGCCTTTTTGTTATTGACAACAAAATACAAATTTACGAATTCACACACTGTTCCAAATAATAACCTGAGGTCAATAACCTCGCATTATTAAAAAAAGAGGTTTCAAAAATACTAAAAGTACTGTTAAACTGGCGTTCTGGGCGGTTATAAAATAATATAACCACGAAGGCTAAGGGGCTCCCGCCTTAACCTTCTAATATAACCTATCCGATTCGGTTTGCTCCGGCGGATCTTTGACTCATTAAACTTAAAAAAAAAATAATCGCCGCCACTTACTATATTTATCATGTTGGCAGTACTGTCTATTCAGTTTTTGAAGCCATACTAGTAAAATTGCGGACCGCTGAATTCTGCTAGTTGATTATTTCTTTAGCGAATAAATTTTTTTTCTACATAAAAAGAGATAGGTAATAGGAATGTATTCTGAAGAAACATTAACAGAGTAAAATGAGATTTTTAATTTGCAAAACAGTAGAACCATAACCATGAGTACAATACGTTTTCATGGTCTTGAAAAGGTTCTCGTCGGGAATTAAAATTAAAAATAAACGCGATAATTCATAAATAATTGTATCATTTACATAATTAAACTATTTTAATAAGAAATTTCGATTAAATTATGTTTTGTATCTAAATTTGTAATCTTACATACCTTTCTTTACTTTTTTGCATATTTAATTACCACGTGCACTAATGTCGCTATTACTAAACTAAATGAATAAAAAAATGTATTACAAATTACTCTGTGAAAAAGATTTCTGGGACTTCCCGTTTAACGACTACGTCCTACTACGACCATAGAGTGAAGCATAGATAAGACATATATACTGAGTGAAGTATGATTAGGACTAGTGGTGGGCGATACATATCGTATCAGATATGAAAACTAGATATTAGTACAATATCCGAATATCACTTACTGGCTCGTTCAATATCTATGTATTTTACAATATCTGATATTTCCGAAATCTGATGTAACGTGCTCGCTCGCTATACCGACACGAATCGCGATATCATACGCGTTTGCCACAATATCTGATTTTTAAACAGATTTCGAGAGACAAAGCGCGTGAGATACAAATACTCACTAGTTAGAGCGGGACGGCAAGCAATGCACGATATCAGATATCGAGCGACAAAGCGCGTGAGATATAAATACTCACTAGTTAGAGCGGGACGGCAAGCAATGCACGATATCAGATTTTTTTTTTTAAACAGATTTTGAGCGACAAAGCGCGTGAGATACAAATATTACACTAGTTAGAGCAGTACGGCAAGCAAGGCACAATATCAGATTTTTAAACAGATATTTTGAATAAGTTAAGTAATTTTGAATCTTAAGGCAATGCAAATAAGATCCGTTTCAATTAAATACTAATCATGGTATCAACGATTACTACAACGATATTATTAAGTATATTTTTATTGTTTTGTTTAGCCTTGAGCCGTAACGGGCGACAAAGCGCGCAGTTAAGTGATTTTGAATCTTAACAGCATGGAAAAAAACATTTTTAGTTGCATTTAAATACGAATTACGGTATTAACGATGTCTTTAAATTTTGTTTAACCTTGAGCTGGATTGCATTGGTACCTAGCACGTAATAGTAAGGGATGCCAACTTACTACTTAAGAATTTTCTGCCTAAATTAAGGAAGAAAAATTTAAATGGAAATTTTTTAGGAGGTAAATTTTTTGTGAATATTTTTATTCGTTAAATTTTATTCATATTTTTGGAAAAAAAAATAAAACTACACAAAAAGAAAAATATAATTTAATAGTGTGTGCTGCTTGGGTGGAAATCAGACCAAGGCTTATGTGCTTTGTGTGTATATTTTAAATTCTTCCGCCCTAAGTTATAATACTGAATATATTATTTCTTACACAAATTATAAAAATATTGTCACTCATGATTGCGTGTTCTAAGAATATGTTAAACTCAATTATTTTAAGCGACATATAAGATGTTGAAATAAATAATTTTTATATTACTTCAATTTCTATTTTTAATGAAATTTATTTTGTGGGTATTTATTTGTTTTCTCGTCTGGTTGGGTTTGGGGATAAACAATAAACACATAAATATATATTGCATCTATAAAATAAATATTATGAATAAAAATAAATATACAGACATAAATATAATATGTAATACATAAATAAATAGGACCCAACCAGACGGAAGCCCTCGGCAGGGGAGACCAAACGGCCGAGGGTTAGGGTGAGAGGGAGAGAAACCGGCGGACGATGCGGGCGGTATCGAGGAGCACCGCCTTCTGCATTTGAGCTTGGAGCGTTCCGTCCCGGAGTCCCAGTCGCCTCAGATGTTCCGAGAGGCTGACTGGGATTAACCCATTCGCAGACACGACTATTGGGATAATTTC